GTTTGAATGGGTCTCATTATACAGGAAATTCTCATCGAACCCGCTATTTCAATCGTTTTATGAAAAGTTCCATAAGATGTGCTAATGGCCGCGTCTATAGATATCGAAATGCATGAATGGAAAAAAGCACAATGGAAAAAGCGGCATACTGGCGGAGAGAAATAATACATAAATAATAAAAAATAATTCAAAAAAATATCTGTTCCTCTATAAAATAACAATCATTTTTACAGCGATGAATAAACTATTACGTTTTGAGCAAAATAATGATTAGTTAATGACAACGTTCGTACTTTTAATACTTATACTTGTCCAATGTGACACATTGTCGTATATATAATTGCACAACCTGTAAATGTTGCGTTAAATTATTCGTTCCTATCTAAATTTTACTCATAGCTCTTAGCTTTGTTAAAATTGCTCGCTCACATAAAGTTGGAATTCATTTTTTCCGACAATGCTACTTTTCGTGAATTTTCGTTAATTGCGTTATTATTGCGCCCGGTTCTGTTCAGTCAAACAATAGACTACCTTCATAATCGATCATTGACGTGACTCAACGTTATCCGCTCGCGAGGCGGAAAAATGGAGCGAAAGCTACTCGCAAAATTCCGATGCATTGTTGGATCAGTGAAAGCGTTAGAGCAAGCGGGAAAGAGTGGAGTGCTAATCACGCGATATCGTGCGTACAGCTCGTGCGATTTCATCGTTAGACCGCTTTTCTCCGCGTACCGCGTGCGGGCATTACAGGAATATGGAAAGTAAAATGTATATGATATCATAAAATCTAATAAGCGGAAGTCAACGGTAGAAATGTACGATAAATTTCAATTCCGGTATATTCAGGGACGCTTCTAACAGACACTTAAACCTACCGAAGTTTTATTGGGTTAGACCCACTTTAAAAAATTCACCTGTAAAATTTCACCAAAAAATCCAAATAAAATTTAATAATAATATAAATAAAATATTTAATATAAAGTAATAATAAAAAATAAAAACTCATAAAACCCAATAAAATCCAGTGTGTTTTATTGTAGTGCAAATTAGATGCAATATATTGTAATACAATTTGATATAATACATGAATTAAATTACATTCAATTTAATTGAATTGGAAATATACATTGACACTCTCGATTATGATAAACAAGTATTAGGATGTATGATTCGAGATTTATTTTTGTTTCCTTTTGAGATACGTGGCTTTAAAAGAATTGTAAACACGTTCTTAATACAAGATTTGCAAATTTCGCAAAAACAACATTGGATCTTGTCAAACCTTGTCAACATGAATATTTCATGTGTATTTCGTACGTTTGCTGAAAATGTAATATAAATAGAAAACAATAATATATGTGATATGGTACTGTAAAAGCAGCATTAAAATCCTGCCTTGAGGAAACTTATTGCGATATCTACGCAAATTTTGGCAGCAGTATGATAGGAAGTCTTAAAACTTTGGCGTTGTCGAGGAGACGAAGAGAATGAGATATGTAAGAGGCGAGAAATATCGGAGTGAAAGTGTACGGAATACAATGATTTAAACACAATTGTGTGAGAATCACGGCGAGTAGACGTTACGTGTTTGTGAACATTTATTAGACGCTGTTTAATATTAATCTCGAGATTATACGCCACGAAGACAACTTTGCAGTTACCCGACTTTGTGAAAATTATTTCGGAAAATCCTTCTGTTTTATTCATCCCCGTAAACTTTTCGATACGCGGAGCACAATAAACGGAATGCAAAGCCAAGAACAAGCGAACCGGGTTGTATTGGGTTAGACCCACTTTAAAAAACTCACCTGTAAAATTTCACGAAAAAATTCAAATAAAATTTAATAATAATATAAATAAAATATTTAATATAAATGCATGCATATTTAAACTATCTAGCGAACAACAATTTGCTATAATTACGATTAAATCAACTCGAGAAATCTCGGGAATCTCTTGGCGCAATAAAATCAAAGGAAACATTTAATAAATACAGATCTTTCGATTTTATTCTCAGAAAAACATTTAAAAAAAATTCAAAGTTCAATAATAAATTACATATACTTTCAAATATATTCTGCAATGTAGGATAAAGAATTCTGTAACGACAGTTGGTTCTATCTTTTGTTTTTTAGTTGAAGAATAGATGATGATATTATTAGTTTATCGCGCATAATAATATAATGTTCACAGTATATCGGGTATAACGTGTGGTATTACGGAATTTCATAAACATGTATGGAGACATTTTTGAACGTGAGGAGAGAAATATCGGAAATCGGCAGCTATCGATTTATCACGAGCTTGCCTTCTTCCAATGCAATCAGCGCGTCGAATATGCTTTCCGTTGACGCCTTCTCGCGAAGGCAGGTTCGTTTAGTCGCTTTTCTAACTGCGGCCGCCGCAGGAAATCGATCTCGTCCGCTCTAATTAGGAGTTCTGCGGTCCCGCGGTGCAGTACCATTTACTATTGTGTCACGAGTGCGAATGAAATTACCGTGCAAAATGCATCTGCCTAAAGGGGCGAAAAATCGGAGCGTACGAACATCTTTATCCTTTCTCTTAACATTTTCCCGTAAAATATATTGCCCCATAAAATTCATGGTATAATTAACTTTCATGACACACGTTTACTTTTTAAAGGTAGAATCCGTAATTTCCGAAAAAAAAAACTGACATTCATAAAACCCGAAAAGAACCGAATTCCTTAAGTTCGTTATTAATAATAAATTTTGTTAATCATTAGTAAACTATAAAAAATAAAAACTCATAAAATCCGATATAACTCAATAAAAGTTTAAAGACCTTAAAACAGAAATGGATAAAAATGCTATATAGATAAAAAAAAAGCTGTATTAATGGCTGTAACAATATATGCATTCCGCGAAAAAGTATCATTTGTCGCAAAATTATGATTACGGCATAATCCCGTTTTTATTTCTAATCTTTATTTTATATTTCAATAAACATGACTACGGAGCTAATCTGCATCGAACGTTCATCCCACGTTCCCGCTCGCTTAATCATCCGATATTCAGTTTTTACGTTTTCACGGAATTAAAGCGTGCATTTCGCATTTTCTGGTTGAGAATGGCAGAAATACACGCGCAGCTGGTTGCCCTCCGGGCTAGAGATTTCGAGGCGCGCGCGTCCAGCTTTATTACGAAGCATATTGAGAATCGTATCAGGATATCCCGTAGCGGTTTTCTCTGGTAAGATGAATAGATTCACAACTAATAATTTCCCGTGGGCATCCACGCGCCCCCATCCCGTCACCCCCGCACGGACCATTCGCACGATGGACAATAGCTCTGAAAGTGGAGTTACGGGATGTAGAATAAGCGGTGCGGCTAGATGAAGAGAAGGCGCTAGTAGTGGTAGTGGGATTGGTAATAGTAGTAGTGGTGGTAGTAGTAGTAGTAATAGTAATGGAAGCGAGAGAGAGAGAGAGAGAGAGAGAGAGAGAAAGAGAAACAGAGAGAAAGAGAGAGGTGTTGAAGAAAGGCGGAGGCAGGGACAGGAATTGCACGAGTAAATGCCCTATCCCGTTGTTGGAGCTGTTTAATTACTAGTTATCAGTTGAAAGGCAAACGGAGGGACGCGCGAGAGAAGGTGCGCGCGCGACAGCGAATCGAGGAAAGAAGAGAGAAGCGAAATCGGATTATGGCGAGAGCTGCGAAGCATTCGACTGTGGTGACTCTGAATTTCTAGTGGAATTGCACCGTTTCTTCCTCTCTCTCGTCTGCTCGCTTTTTCTTTCCTTTTCTCTTCCGTCAGATTCGCCTAATGAAGGCCGATAAAGCCGCGATAGATTCAGCAATATCGGCGGCTTAGAGCGTCGCTCGACCGAGAATCTCAGAGGGAGCGAAATGGCTTGTACATTAAGTCGTAAAATTTAATAATTATTTTATAAGGATTCAGAGATTGTGTGGCTCAATAATTATTTCTGACATTCTAAATTAGCTATCCTAGACATTATAATATCTCTTCTCATTTTTAATACCTAACAAAATTAAGATAATAATTATTTAATTATTAAATTAAATTAAGTAAATTCGTTATCAATAACAAATGTTGTTAATCATCAGTGAACTATAAAAAATAAATACTCATAAAAATATTAAATTCTTTATCATTAATGAATTTTGTCCGTCGCGTCGGTGAAATTGTAATAATGTTGATACATCGTAAAAATCGTGCGAAGAGTACATAAATCGTGATGCCAGACAATACCGTAGATTCTAATGGCGACACCGGTGTGGGAATACGATTATTCTAGTGATCCCTAACACGGTGAACGCGGAAGGACGCTGCGGCACTTGCAGTCCGGAGATCTCATATCGATAACAAACAGCAGGAACTCTCGCATGAGGTGTCTAATTAGAGCCGATAAGCTTGATTTCCGCGACACGCACGCACATACGCGCGCAATTGTGTTTGAACAGGCCCGGCAGAACAATCATGTTACGGCATTATGCACAGAAATTCGTTTGCAACTTCATTATTAATTGATCGTTGCGAATCGCATCCCACTCAGCAATTCCGGCACTATCGGTTTTTATCCGATAAACAACGTGAAAATTTTTGAACACAATTGCGCAGCATCGGAAGCAAACATTGCTCAAATTTTCCAAACCCTTCTTTTAGGGAAACATTCTAACAAAAATGCACATTCACTTTGATGTTATTTTGAAGACAATCAATTACATCTTAAACAACAATTTGAAATATTTATTATTTGAAATTAAATTAAATTAATTCGTTATCAATAATGAATTGTGTTAATCATTAGTAAATTATAAAAAATAAAAACTCATAAAACCCGAGTTTTTTAAATCCTGCCTAAAAGGGTTGTAGCCTTTCAAAAAAAAAAACTAAGTTTTTAGGTCCCACGGGCAACATTATGGTAATAAAAGCATAAGAATTCCGGTCACGGGTCAATTCCCTGACGCGGGTGTTTTCTCGAGCAACGCTATTTTTAACTGTAACGTTTCTTGCAGATCACGTGGATCGATGGACTGGGCAACGTGCTACACCGTGGCATCAAAACCACGAAGGAGGCGTACGATAACGGTCCGCTGACTACTGTAAAGTCCGTCCTGAGAGTGATGCCGCGGAAGGATCACGACAACACGACTTTCACGTGCCAAAGTCAAAATATGGCGGATCGTTCGCCGCAAAGCGCCAAACTTCGCGTCGAGGTACGTATAGATGTAATTGGGGCCCTCCGCCACCCCCCCCTCCCCCACTTGGCGCATACATACGATTCCGGTAAGGCTCCGCGGGCGTAGAGTCAGTCTCGGAAATATATAGGGTAATATCCTGAAATAAGTCTCTGAACCGTGTCAGCAAGACGGCGAGAAATCAGGGAGGAAAATAAAAGAAAATGGGAAGCGGGGAGAAAAGATAGAAATCTCGCTTAAAGGGAAATAAAATCACTGGCCTTTTGCGCGCGCTCTTTTTACTCGCTGACCGGAGGAAGAAATTAACGCGAGTCGCGCGAAAGCGGGAGGCCGGGACGGCGCGGCGGGGAAGACGGCGGGAGACGCGCGGGGCAGGGAGGAGGGGTAACGAGGGTAACGAGGCGACGTATAATAATTAACGTCGTGTCTTGAGAAGCGGTTAGCGCGCGGTAATCGCCATCCGCTGGCGCAACTTTCGTGCTGCGAGCGCGCGAGTACTTTGGCGCGTTCGCCGGGTACTACTTCCGCCCTCTTTTCTTCAGAGACGTAGACTCCATTATCCGAAGTGGCAAAGGGAACAAATAGTTTCATGGAAAAGGGCAACGAAGCGAACTCGCGGAGATTTTTGCCCGGGCAGAACATTCGAATTTGCGACGGAGACGGCGACGGCGACGGCGACGGGCGACGACGACGAGGACGATATTACGAACGCGCCGTGCTACGCCGACCTGCAGAGAAAATTCTCACGAGTTATTACTTAACTCTTTTACACCACGCCGGATATATTACCCGCGCTTTTCACGATTCCTAATATAAGTTCGACGTTAATATCATCCTAATTGGAAGCAATTCTTACGCAAGTGAGTTCGAGCAAACTCGTATTTCTTCGACGACGTGCTTTTTCTTTATCATCCACGCACGTGTCGACAAAACGAATTAATTCTCGACATACGGAGAGAGTACCTTGGCTTTATTATATTTTAATGGTGAACTTTTTTCTTGATAATTCATAATGGATTACTGCTAAGATATCTGTTATTAATATACAAACGTATCACCCTTGTTTTAAATTGTGTATAACGTAACTTATTAATAAAATTTTGCTTCTTCATTTAGAAAATGGTGAGAGAGGCGATTTACGCGTTTTGATTTTCAGGTACGTTACGCACCGAAGGTGTCCCTCTCGAAGATCGATCGCATCGTCGAAGGTTCCGAGCTTAGGTTCAAATGTAGCGCCGAGGCCAACCCACCCGACGTAGAATATAGGTAAGTAAAAACACGAAGCAGATATCGATGACATACCTATTTTTAATGCCAAAGAAGAGAAGATTTAAATATCGGATTCCTGAATTATTAATGTAAATTAAGGTAATTTAATAGTTAAATTAGGTATTAATGTAGGTGAAGGTAAAATAATTAATATAACTGTCAACTGTCAGAGATAATAAAAATAAGCCGATCGCATTAAAGAAGATAAGCTGATACGGAGTCAGATCGCCTATGTGCGCCATATTTCATTTGTCCATGAAAAAAAGGAAAGTTTCGCTTTGAAGATCACTTTCTGACAAATATTTTTCCAGAAAACGCTACCCGGCAACTAAATTTTATTGTAAAGACATAAGAAACTGAGAAAATTGCAAAATTAATTATTATTTACTAAAAATAGAGTAAAACTTCTCTCTATGGATTTACGGTAATCCAAACTTTACTCTAAATCGGGACGCCCGAGTTGCTCAATAAAGTCAATATGGTTGAGCACGAGTTTCAAAATAGTTACTTAATAGTTGTATACCTATAATTAACATCAGGGTTTGACAAGATGGGCCCAACCTAATAAAATCCATCGGATTAGTAGAAGTAAATTCGTTATCAATAATGAATTTTGTTAATCATTAGTAAACTATAAAAAATAAATTTAAACCCCTTTTTTCAAACCCTAATGTTAATTATAGGTATACAAGTGAAATATTGATAACAGAACAAGGAGACTTATATGGGAGGTCGTAAGTAATGCACAATTAAATTTTCCTGTGTCACCGTAATCGATCCGTAAATACCGAACGCTTTAATTCTCATCTGAATTTGAACGAGCGTCGGCTTATTATCGGATCAAGAATTCACGGATTATCAGGCATTTTTCACAACTCGCGTTCTCTCCTCCTTCCACCCTTCCACAACTTTCTCTCGTCGCCCGCTCCGGATCAATACGACTTTTTAATAATACGGTGCATCTAAATAATTACTCAGACTTAATGCTAGAATCGTTTTTGCTGATTTTGCATTATACATACAATACTTTTTTAATTAATATGTAATGCGTACATATTTTTCAATTGGATTTAATGTCTTGCTCTTATTGTTGCTGCGTCACAATTATCCTAGTGTCACGATTACTCTGCTTGACCCTAACACGCCGATACTAAATAGAATGGGTGCACCGATGCATACGTTAATGTGCTCTTTTAAGAAAGACGGCTGGCTCGGGGTTGCTCCTGGCATTTTCTTTGCAACGATGCAACGTTGGTCGCACAAAGATTACCTTGTTTCATCTCGGCCTTGCACAAAATGAGAAACATATACAACGTTACGCGGAAGCGAGATACGATGTAATTTCCAATATATCGACGCATCGATAATTGCGCGCTGGATAAGGGAGCATAAAGAAAAAAAAATAGCGTGCTGCAATATCCGAGGTATGAGTCAAGAAAAAAACATGATGATACGAGAAACGAAGAGAAACGTCAGACTAACGGGGGGAGGGGGATTACGTTATGGCAGATATTTAATAAAATATAATAACATCGGCAATGTATATATATGTATATACATATTATATTCTACGGCAACATAAGATAAACGGCACTACATTCGCTTATTCGATAAGTACGTAAATGAATTACAAATAACAAAATAATAATAATTACTATATAATTATATTACACGAAAATGCGATCACCAATAAGAGATAAAATGGATCATATATATATATATATATATATATATATATATATTATATTTATATTTCTCAAGCTATAAAATCGTATTGCTAGTAAAAATTGCGTTTTTTTAAACACATTTCCATATATCATATTTCCAAAATTTGTGATTGGTGCAACTAAAAAAATTCAATACTTTATGACAAATATACGAAGAAAAGGGAGGCGCGCGTATTTATTTATATATATCAATAATCTCATATAATGATAATAACAATCGACAATAGTTAGCAGTATATTGACAACGAAATCGTTTAAGCGTTTTGATTGACCATAATTATGGGTAACTGACTTATTATTGTATCTTTATCATATACCTTTGTCAAGAAGAAGACATGATTCATCGGACAAGGCAAAGGTATGTTCAAAAGGCCTGAAAGATTAATTAAATTTCACAAAAAAGATGAATATGTCGAGTTACACCAATTACACCAGTCTCATATACGGAAGTATAATATGCGTGTATAAAGAAATAATTAATAAGAAAAGTAATAAAAGCATAAGGTGAACGACGTGCACACAAATCATGCGATCACGTACAGGACGTAATTCAAATAATATACATGTAAATATGATTCAAATAATACACATGTAATGTAACGTAAAATAAAATCTCTTTGGCTTTTTACACGATTGAAAAGAAATATGCTCCGCGTAAATGTATGTATGTGGGTGTATCAGAAATTGCGCACATTCTCCCGACGATCTAATTTCTTTTTCGCAAAGTTAAAATTGTTTTTTTTTCTTTCTTTTGCACATAAAAGGTTAAATTGCACGTCGTTATCTATCACAAATATGCGTTTTAAACATGTAATTGCTATTTTTGCTTGAAATTTTTGTCAGAGTTCGTTTAAAATTAAGTGGAAGAATTTTTTTAGAATTTGCTATCTATTCTCTCACGCTTGAAGCTTGATTCGTCAGAAATCTCTGTTTAACAGGAGATTTCCAATACAGCTTACGTGTTTACATTGTTGCAAATCGTGCTTTGTTCTCACTCATGCATAAGACAAATAAAACATAGAGATTTCACGACGTAAAAAAAAAGAAACAGATGTTTGGAAAAGCCAAAGGGAAAGATAGGATACGGATGATAACTATTGGCTCTACCGTGCAAGAAACGTGAAACTCTGATTAACATACAAGTAAAATATTGATAACAGGACAAAAAGATTAATACCCCTAAGTTAATTAAAAGCGAAAAAATCTTAACATTTATTTGTATCCCTCAAATTTAATTTCACTTTCAATCGCTCTTAATAAAAAAAGAAAGTTTAATTTCCCAATAAATTCCTTCTCTTTGATTAGGTACACATAAAATTCGCGGAAACAAATGTAGGTCTAATGGACATAGACAGCCGCAGCGCGTTATAAATCTGTTCACTTTTCCCGCAAGCAGATCGAAAGTATGCAAAGTAGTTTAAGAACGATTAGGGAGTTGAGATATTGGCAGAGTCTCTTACCGCGCGTTATTCCCGACTCCTAATAACACAACCAGCGAAATACGATATTTTGCTGGTAGATTTAAAAGCCAGGTAAATGAGTGAGATATCTAAATGTTTGGTCGAATGTACACCGTCGCCGTGTGTTTATCGGAATATTCGAAACATTTTTAACCGCTGTTTACTCAGGAGAAAGATATATATTTCCACTTCCCCGGAATTAACATTGTTTGTCACAATATAACGTCCATAACTGTCTCGCTAAGCTTTTTCAGCAGAAGCCAGCGGGATACCTTTTTATCAACGGCAATAATTTGAATCCTTTTGTATCGAAGATTTTTACGATGCTCTGGAAAATCACAATTTGTAAGAGTAAGGGGCTTTCTACAATAAGCCGTTAGTTATTACTCATATCATACTAACTAAGAATTGGCCAATCGTAGTCGAATGTTTTTCTTACATTCAACTGTGATTGGTCAATTCTTACGATTTACGGCTTACGATCTGACATACGACGTATTGTAGACAGTCTCTAATACATCCGCGCGGCGCGGCGCGGGTACGCTTTATCGCGCCAACGGTGCTTCTAAAAGATCAGAGAGATTATAGATCAGCTCATTTGCTCTTTAAATTAATGATTTGCAAACTATTTTAATGAATTCAGGGTTTGACAAAATGGCCCAACCCAATAAAATCCCCTTTTATCTAATCGGGTAATAATAATAGGTGTGTATTTCTGGGACAAGTTGATCGAAACGTACCGTGTCGTTATAGGAGCACCTCGTAATGAAAGAGGAAAGAGCCGCCGCCGTCGTTAACATGTAATTTTAAACGTATGTATATCCGAGAACAAATGTAACTCGCCCGTATTGTCGAGCAGTCGTTAAAACGAACGAAGGATATACCAAGTAAAGGCTAACGTCGTTAGAAACGAGAAAGTTCTAATTTTACGATCGTGATATTATGATGATGAAAAGCCATATTTGTGGTCGCCGAGGCAAACAATACGAGATAATTGTAACTCGCCTACTGGGCTAGGCTTTTTTTAAAAAAACTCGGGTTTTTTCAAACCCTGATTAATCCCCGTCTTAAAAAGTGCTGAAATATTATATATAAATATTGTTAAAATAACTTGCATAAAGAATTATAGGAAGAAATCGAATCGTGTTTGATACATATACGGGCGTCGCACTTTACATGGGCACAACATTACGCGTTGTGCTTTCCCTTTTATCGTCAGAACAAAGACGCGAGGCAAAATCATTGTTATTCGTTTCTTAATATGTCGTTATTAACATACAAGTGAAATATTGATAACAGAACAAGAAGACTAATACGGGAGGTCGTAAATAATGCACAATTAAATTTTCCTGCAGTATCACCGTAATCGATCCGTAAAATACAAAACGCTTTAATTTTCGTCTGAATTATTTTCCCGAACTTTTGGGCGTTTGCTGGGAAAATATTTGCCAGAAAGTGGTCTCCAAAGCGAAACTTCCCTTTTTGCTTGCACAAATAAAATATGGCGTACATAGGCGATCCGACTCCGTATCGGCTTGCCTTCCTTAAAGCGATCGGCTCCCCGTGAGCCTTAAGCTACTTAAAGTTTCCGAAATATCGATAGTTTCTCACGATATCGTGTCGCTACAGGTGAGCGACGCCGTCGGCGCGGCGCGACGGGCACGCGAGGGCGCGTAAGCAAAACGTGAGTCGCGCACCGCGTTGTTCGTACATTGGCTGGGAGCGACAAAGAGAAGGCGGATGATCGATATCCGTCTCTCTACAAAGAGGACAATGTCAAATTCAGGACGGTGTTGCGCGCGCACGTGTTAACGTGGGGCGCGTTTGCGGGTTTCGCCTAGCGGGCCCGCTTTGATTGCTTTTAAATTATTCGTTACGCAACATCCCGCCAGGGAGAAAAAAAAAGGATCGCGCGCTCGCCCCGGATGACGCGCTGTATTAATTTACGAGATTATCGGATGGTCGTCGCTCTCTCTCTCTTTCTCTCTAGCTCTACCGAATTAAATCGGCTCGTCAAAAATATCACCCCCTCCTGTAGAAAGCGCAGATTGCATATCTAAAAAAAACATTATGCGTAAAACCAAGCCTTTTTTTAGACAAGAGTGATTCGATTGTTTAGTGTGAAATATTGACGCGCAATGTGTGGGCAGGAATAGAAACCGAATCGAATTTGAATTTTAGAAACTCAAAACTCTAAACCGAAAACCGAAAGCATGACAAATATTAAATAAAATAAAACATAAAACCAAAAAATCTAGAGTTAACTAAAAAATTAACTCTTACTCTCGCCTGATAGCGTCTCATCTCTAGATAAGCTTCCGAATGCCTTGCAAATTCGAATGTATATATTGTACATCAATGTAGGTAAATACATTTAAGAATACAAAAAGAATTAAAGACAAAATTTAATTTTTTGTTGTAATCTGAAAATCGAAATTAAAAAGATCTACAGAGTAGAGATTGAAACCTAAACCGAAAACCGAAATTAAGAAAATTTTGAGAACGAAACCAAAACACAAATGAAATTATTGACTTTCAGTTCCTCTCCCTGCGTGTGGGGTTACTCTAACGCTCTTTCACATCGCTGCATTTCGCTGCGCGAGTTTAAATTAACTTTATATAATCAAAGGTAGAAACAAAAGGATCTCTCGATTTACAGTAATTTTATTTTCGAGGACTGAGATTTAAATTGCGGCTCTTTTTCCCGCACATAAACCAAACGGAAAGCTTTTTACACGAATACAAAAGCTCGAAATCATTTCCTTTTGTTTTTTTTTTAGTCGCGACAGACTTTCTCCAGGTGTAGGTGATGTGTGTGTGTTAAAGCTCCGTGGAAAAAAAAGAAACTTGATCCGCTTATGGGACTTCATGGATAGACGGAGGACAGACGGAGAAACGAGTAAAGAGCAGCCAGAGAACCACATTGTATTGACGATAACGAACGTTAGTTACCAGTCGCTTTAACAGCTTTTATAGCTTCCGCAGCTTTTATAGCTTTTACAACGGTCGTCGTTGCACCATCGTCCGTAAAAAAAAAGAGCTTCAAATGCAAGTGAAAACTGAGGAAGCGACGAGAGAGACCGACGACGTGATTTTCGACGTTCCCGCGCGGCGTTAAACGTGATAACGAAAGTAACAAAATCTGCTGTCCGTATCAGTTTTTAAATGATCTCATTACAGCGGAGAAAGGATTGTATAATATCCAAGGAAATGTAGGAAGTCAGATGTGAGATAAGTTAGCTCGTAGGGCTAATTAATTTCGGATACTAATTAATTCTACGTTATTTCCGCGATCACAATCGTTTTGATAAATTCGCGGGTTACAAAAAACGGAATAATATCCGCGTTCTTACATCATCGCGAGAGACTAAATTTCCTGTTCTTTACGCAAATTATTATATTTAGAAAGAAACAATCCTTTCGGACAAATACATATAAGTTTTTTATTTTACAAATATTAGGTGGAATAAAAAATAACAAAACCGAAAAATCTAGAATTAACTAAAAAATCAAATTTTGCCGAAGCTGTTCGTAACCGTGCAGTTGTAATCTGAAAATCGAAATTTAAAAGATCAAAACCGAAATTAAAAAGATCTAAAAAGTAAAGATTGAAACCAAAATTTAAAAATTTAGAGATTGAAACCTAAAACTGACAAATACATATAACGTATTACAACTTGAAATGGGAAGGTATTGCCGGATTCATAAAACTTCTTTCAATCTCGCTGCGAATAAAATATCTTCCTAAAGTTAGATCGCCTCTACCTCGAACACACTCTATAGATGCGTACGCGGAAGAGTTGAACTTTACCGGAAGATACGGGATGACCTACAGACACTTCGATGTTTATCGAGTCGTTATGGCACAGTATTCGTGCGAATGTACGTTGCACAGCGCTTTTGCCGGCATCTTTGCGAGGTAAATTGTCTGTCGGACGGCTCTACGGCTCCGATAAAATCGATTGCAATGCGAGGGGTGAAGGGCGCGCGAATGGAGGGAGGTCGGTTGGCAGAGGGTGGCGAAGGGTGTGGGTGCCACTACGGTCTCTCTTGCCTAGAGACACACGAGCTCGGTAAGTCGTCGTTCCAGTTCGATTCGGCTTCTCTATCTCTCTCCCACCCTTTACTCGCTCTCCTTCTCGCTGATTGTACGCGCGGAGGCCGTTCCGTCGCTGTGAAAAGCGCAGCCTGCCCTCTCCCGTTTATTACCATTCGAAACGACGACGCCAAGGCTCTTTTCCACGATTGTGCGGCCAAACGATGCTCGAGATAAATCGTTCAGATCCTTCGTGAGGACGCCTCAGTTGGCAAAAGTCGAGTGGCAAGAGTACCCTTCGCGGTAAGAAAACGTCATAAAGCACATGTACAAAATGTCACCAAACCGAATTTACAAGTGTGCTGCTTGATCAATTTAAAATCGACTTCCCTCTACACTGTAAAGGTTGAGAAATTAATCTTTTTTTTTTAATATTAAGAGAGCAATCGAAATTAAATTTAAGGATATAAATAAATAAAGATTGTTTTGCTTTTAATTAACTTGGGAGTTTTAACTTGCTCGTCGACTTATTATACCTGCCAATGATCAAATTGTTACGGAGGGTAAAGGGAAGGCGCTATTTTATACCGTCCTCTTTAAATGATTTATTTCGCTTTTCCTTTCCAGGTGGTTTATCAACAAGAAAAAGGTGATCGGGGACTACACCACGGAGATGATTATTCACAACGCCACCCGCGAGCTGCACGACGCGACTGTAAAGTGCGAAGTTTCGAACGAAGTCGGCAAAAGCGAGGAGAGCCAAACCCTGGATATAAGATGTAAGCGAAAAATTTAATTTTCAATTTAGCATGAGATAATAACAGCTAAGGTCAATATAGTTTCTTAGAAACTATCACGCGTGTAAGATTTCAACGTGAATTTTCGTTTCGGCGCTTAAAATTTCGTGATCACGCGAGAATTCGAGAATTCCAACGTTCATTTGGTGTGGAAAAAAATGATACCACTTCAACGCAGCGGTCTGAAAATACAATCGCGCAAAGGTATAAAATAGAGCGCAGCGCGCGTTCCGCACGCGCGCCCGCGCCACCCGAATCCACGGCTAAGAGAGAATTTCGTTTTACAGTAAAGCCGGTACCTTACAGGCGTGTTAAAGGAGCAATCGCGGTAACGATATAAAATATAGAGCGCCGCGGAAACGCGCTCTCGAAATAAGCCGCCGCCGTCGCCGGAATAGACGCGCGGCACGGCGGCAGTAAGGAAGTAACATTTTTTTTCTCTCTCTCTCTCTCTCTCTCTCTCTCTCTTCCTTCCCCGCGAGTTCATTTTCGCGCTGACCCAAGGGGGGGTTAAAATTGAATTTCTACAGACGGCCCGCAGTTTCGACATCCGCCGCTCTCCGTGGAAACGCATTACGGCGCGACAGAGATCCTGCAGTGCGACGTAGACGGGAATCCGACGCCGGAGATTCTGTGGTACCACGAGGATTCAGAGCGAACGGTCGCCACCAGCCCGAACATAAGCGTCTTTGTGAGCCCCGACACCGCCGGCCGTTACTACTGCAAGGCCCGTGTGCCCGGCTTTCCAGAATTAACCGGCCATGCCAACATCTACATTCGCGCGCCGCCGAGCATAGTGTCGCAAAGGATCCAGTACGTACCTGACGAAGGAGTGGTCAAGGTGCGTATATATATATATACACGTATATACAATATATACGTATTCCATGGGGCGCGATACGTACGTTCTTTGACCCGCGATCGGTCGTTAAGTATCATGTACAGCGCGACTGTCGGACGCAAAGAAAACGCGGTGCGCGCGACCCGCGCGTAATTTTCTTGAGTGCCCCGTCGCGCCGCGCCGGGCGTCCCGCGCGCGCACGGCCGCGTGTGTAGGTATCATGAATTATTATTGCACGGAAGCACCCTCCCCCCCCCTCCTACCGGAAAGATCTTTTAAGCCGGGGACGGCAGTTATCAGGAAGCACTCAGTATAAATTACTCTGGATAATTTAGCTTCATCCGCGACGTGAAAATACGCTTGAGAATCTGCAAGGCGGTCAACGTACGACGGTGTTGACGTATTCTATGTAGTCTCGAATAAACGTTTTCGCGTCAAAATGAGAAGAGAAGTCCGCGTTAAGGTCTGTCCGGAAACGACTGCGTTTTTGTAACGCGTTTTTGAAACTGCGTTTTTTGTAACTGCGTTTTTGCGAGCGTCTCACACCTTTTTCAACGGAGATTCAAATTGACGTAATTTTAATGAGACGAGTTTTAGATCAAAGTATTATCTTATGTTAATTATTATTCTATAGTAACTAGAGTAATAAATTTGAATCTCCGTTGAAAAAGGTGTGGACGTTCGCGGACGTGTGTCGATACGAATTTTTGTCTCGTGTTTCGACTCAGATGAAACTGCCACCCAAAGCTCGTCCAAGCGTTTCGCCAACATTCTATGTACGTATCCACGCGCTGACACAGGGGTTCGCGATGTGATCGCGCGACGCCACATTCCCACATTTTTCTCTCTGCCGATGCTTGAAACACTTTTAGAGGAGAAACCGAAGGGAGAGGGAAAGCGCGGGTCGCCCGAATGACGGGGGGGAGTGAAAGACCGAAGGGAGGGCGCGGCGACGCAGGATGGGGAGGAGGTACTCGCGCTTAACCGCAATTTTTTTATTCCACCGGCGTTTTTTCCCCCGATTTGCTTCCCAGGTTAAGTGCACCGCGATATCCGTGCCAAAAGCGGAATCGGTGGTGTGGAGCTTCGCCGGTCGCGAGCTCAATTTCACGTCGAACAATACGCCGTTCTACGTGCAAGAGGAATACGCGGCCGAGAGGGTAGTCAGCACTGTCACCCTACTGGATCCCATATCGACGTACTTCGGGGATTACAATTGCACGGTTACGAACAGCTTCGGCACGGATTCCGTCATCATCAAACTGACAGCACACAGTAAGTTTGATATTTGACATTCCGCATTAAAGCCTACCCGGGAACGAAGAGAAATGCGTTTTTATTGTACAAATAAAATGAATATTTTTTGAGCATAAAAACGAAAGTAATTGTCTTGCTAATTATATTATAATAATTTTTAAAAATAGAATTTTTTTATTGAAGGGTTACACCACCCATGAGATTTTAAAATGATACTTTAAATTTCGGATTTTTTTTTTACGGTAAATAGATAACTTTATTTAAAATCTGTTTAAAAGACATTATTGTACATATATAAAAAACCAAAAAAATATTTTTTTATTTTTCCTATGTCCAAAATGGCGGTGCACTGGCCTGCACTTGCGAAATCCGTTTTTTTCTATCGGTGTACAGGATTCCAGGTACACGGTTTGACTTTGTACAAAACACAAAAAATTTTCATTATCTACATATTAAAAACTTTGGAAGTACGTAGGGATTTTTCTCGAAATGACAGCTGTTTTAAGAAACATTTGTACTGGCAAAAAATACCTACACATTTTTCGTAACTTCCATAGATTTTAATATGTAGATAATGAAAATTCTTTGTATTTTGTTCAAACTGTGTGCCTGCAATCTTGTACACCGATTTCAAGATTAAAAAAAAAGGCATTCGGCAAGTTAAGCCAGTGTACCACCATTTTAAACATTAAAAAAATATTTTTTTTTTCCAATTTATTATATATGTATAACAATCCTTAAAATAATTTTTTAATAAAATTATCTGTTTACTGTTTAGAAAAAATCCCAAACTTATAGGTATCATTTAGAGCCTCAAGAGTGGTGAGACCCCTTAATTCTTTACAACAAAATCCTTTTTATACCTATCTCAAAAATTATTTAATAATCGTGTATTGATTTGATTAAAGTTAAAGTTCACAGCACATCGCTAAGACTTTAAAAATTACTCCATTTGATAATCGCGAATTATTCTAAGGTCTACGAGTCTTTCTTTTTGTTTTCTTGGCGCTTTCGTTCCAACTTAATGTTAATTCGTAAACAGAATATGAAAAAAAAAGATGAAAAGATAAGAATTCACGATTTTTAACTATAACTATAAAAAAATTGCATTAGATCGCATTCTTCTCCCCCCTCCCCCCCCCCTGTTCGCAGCATGCATCATATCATGCTATTCTGCATGTGAAGTATCAAAAGCTGATTTTTACACGATGATAACATAGATGAATGGTAGTCGCCCTTTCGCTCATTGTTCTAGGTCTTCGGAGTAGCCTAGATGGCAGGCTTCGTCATTTGTACACACGCAGTATAATTTACGTACATTCGTGCTTTTATTGTATACTCACGATCGCAGCCTCCCTCGAGAATATTATACGTGTAACAGATTACACTCGCCGATATAATATGCGCATATATGTATATATTAGGAAACGAATTCTTTCGTTATCGATCACGACGGAGCGAAACAACAGTCGAACTGAACAGTCTTACTACTAAAAACTGATCGATCTAAAACTAAAACTAACCGTCATCCAAATATTCTAGACGAAGCGGGATCGTTCGTCTCTGTCGAATCCATGGCGGTGCTTCGTCGATGCCTCCTTCGATGCTTCTCGATACTCCGGATGCTTCGAATGTTACTCGCGACGCTCGCCGGACCGCGGGACGATAGCGAAATACGAGAAATGCACAGATCCCGCGGCGAATCCTGCCTAATCCTGCCCGTATCACGACTCGCGTCACTCGCGTGCAACACGTATCCGACCGATTCGACGGGCTGTTAGCGAAACTCGATTACGCGACCGCGACTTCGCGCGTTTCGAAAAAAAATTCCCGACCGGGACGGCCGCCGCGATTTCGAAGCTCCGAGGGACGTATTAATCGCGATCGTGCGGGCCAATTAACACCGAGATACGATTCGATATCCTCCGACACTCGTATGTGCGGAATGTATTTGGAACCGATCAAAGGACTCGCGAAGACGCCGAGCACGCGCGACAAGAATGGCCCCCGCGCTCCCGTCATGCAACGGGGAGCGGCACGAACGACACGTACTGCCATCCTGTAGGTAATTAGAGAATTCGGTAGCGCGACCGCGGCCAATTTCGTGGAAAAATAGCTGATGGGGGAGCGGCCGCCAATTTCGGGGCTCGACAGACGTACGAATCGTGATCGCCCGGTCCAATTAATATGCCAAAACGATCGCCCATCGCCAGATTCATTATTCTCGATTCTCATTTTATACGCGAGATTTACCTGAGACGGATAAAGGGACGCGAGAACGCACGACGATCGCGATTCGGGAAAGCGCGTGAAACGTATACTGCCGTACTTTTTTTATTGTAGGCGATTCGGGCAAATTCGGTAACGCGACGCACGGCACGGGCAGCAACTTCGCGCGTCTCGAAAAGATTCCCAACGGGACGGACGCCGATTTCGAGACCCGAGAGACGCGGTTAATCGCGCGGTCGCGCGAGTCAATTGATACACCGAGACGATCGTCCGTCGCCGGATTCGATACCCTCGACACTCGTTTCTACACGGAGAGAATTTCCTTTTAAAATTCTGAAAATCATGTTAATCGTGGGACAACATGCGGTATTTCGACAAATTTTATTGTACACTACAATAAATCTTACTGCGCACTACAATAAATTTGTTGTAGTATATACTAAAAAAATATAGTGAAAATCACATGAAAATCGTCGAAATACCATGTTGTCTTACGATCAACATGATTTTCAAAATAAAATTCTCTCCGTGTACGCGAGGCTCACCTGGGGATGGGTGGAGACGCGCGGCAATTGCGATTCGACATGCACCGCGAGACGCGCGACGCGTACTGCTTGTACTGCCGTCCTAGGCGATTAGGGAAATTTGATCACGTGACCGTAACTTCGCCAGGCGCGGACGAACGCCGATTGCGAGAGACTTGTTCATCGCAACCGCACAGATCAAATAACGAATGATTTTCAGCTCATTTGCTCGGCCCGACCATCGGCGATACCTACTCGTAATTTCTACGCCGAGCTTACCTCAACGGGACGGACGGGTAAAAAGATGCAAGCATACTATAATCGCGCCGATCGCGATTCGACATGCATCGGGGGATGGGGGGGGCACGTGCACTATCACGTACCGGTCGGTGATTAGTGAAATTCGACACGTCATCGCGGCTAATTTCATGCGACGCGGTGTTTTGCTAAAATGCCGAAAGGATATTAACACTTCGCCGCGACGGACGACGTGCCTTACATGGGCACAACGTTGCGCGTTGTGCTTTCCCTTTTATCGTCGGGACAAAGACGCGAAGAAAAATCATTAATTGTTATTCGCTTCTTAATGTCCCCTCTTTTAATGTTTCTTATAAATATATATAGCTTGCAATATAAAAATTACAAATTCTTATATGTAGGTACATTTTTTAAGACGGGGATTAATACGCATCTCAAAAAGTGCTGAAATATTATATATAAATATTGTTAAAATTACTTGCATAAAGGATTATAGTAAGAAATCGAATCGGACGAGTTTGAGATAGGTATATACGGGCGTCGCGCTTTACATATAGGCACAACATTACGCGTTGTGCTTTCCCTTTTTTTCTGTCAAAACAAAGACGCGAGGCAAAATCATTAATTGTTATTCGTTTCTTAATATGTTCTCTCTTTTAATGTTTCTTATAAATATATAGCTTGCAATACAAAAATTACAAATTTTTATATACATTTATAAGTTTCTAATTTTTATATTACAAGCTATATATTTATAAGAAATTTTTATTTATAAGAAACATCAAAAGAGAGGATATATAATTTAATCGCCACTCATGATCAAATAATTGCCTTCGATAAGTGACTGTTAATGTATAGGTATCAAACGTTATAAGCTGTTCGAGTCATCAATAAATAACCCACGATAATGTATAAATTACCGTTAGGTTAACGCGACTTGATGATAATTCTAGAAAAGGAAACCTTAGGTGTATAGAGGAGCATTTCCCGTAAAAAGTGGTACGAGCGAGTTGAAAAACACGAGTCTTAAATTTATGAGAGCAAATCATAAAAACAAGCTTATGCTTCATCTGCAAAAGTATGGCAAGATGCACGCGGATATACATTACTGTTATTCAAGAGGGAGAGATGGCTCTGGAATTTGTATGTTGTTGACTCGTGCCACTTTTTAAGTGGTGAATGCGTATATTAATAGCGCGCCTCACACTTCATCTGGCAAACGAGATTTTAACCAGGCATGACGCTTAGCGTTGATTCCAGTCGATTGGCAACTGATCTTGATCATCGCCGGACTGGTTGTCTGTGTGATCCTGATTGGCATAATAGTCATACTCATTCTACAATGTCGCGATCGTATTAAGCAGCCACGGCCACGAACGGCGCAGACTCAAGAGACCGATATGCGTAAGTAATTATAACGTCAATACGAATATACGTACAAAATATCTCATAGAAAATGTTGCAAGAGAAATGTTGCTCCAAAGTAACGAACGTTATATTAATACGAGACTTTTAGGCCCAGTTTCACAATTCACAGTTAACGCGATTTAACTAAAGTTCAACTTGTTTTATTTTTTCTAATCTGAGAATTAGAAAGAGACAAACAGATTACAGAGATCGCAAACAAATTAAATCAAGATTAAAGTTAATTTTACGTTTTTGTGGAAACTTAAGCTTTTTAAAACGTTTGTGCATCGATCTTTTTTTTTTTCCTGATTCGTACAGAGGAGACCGATTCTAACGCCGATCGATACAGAGAAAGCGATAGAAGCAGCAACCTCTCGGATGTCAAAGCGGACATCCGAGCGGGTTCCAGTGTCAGCAACGCGGAAAGTGTCACGGCCCTTGACAGTGAAGGCGAAGGAAGTACCAGAGGAGTAAACGCCTTGGCGCTTGCTGGACCAGTGCCGAATCCATTATCCGGTTATCGTTACAGCGCCGATTATACTGAGCCTTCCTTCCCGCCGAAGAATAACGTAAGTGGATTTGAAATACGGTACTCGATACTTTAACGATTGTCAGACATGAATAAATGCGGAGGAAAAAGATCGATTTATCTGAGAATAGATTTTGTAAATAGACATTTACATAGAGATATTCGTCGTAATTTGTGTCGTGTCTATGCTATTTTAAAAGTAAGACGTGGCGTTTGTTCTGTTTCTGCAGGATGGTAGTAACAACAACGGTTACGTGCCATACGTTGACTACACTCGCGATTACATGCCACCAACGACGCAGAGCATGGGCGCGTCGCGAGAGTCCTTGAGCAGGATATCCTCTAGCGGTATCCTGTCATCGAAAAAAATCGGACTCAGCTCGGCCAACCTGGGCAGCTCGACTCCGCAGACAACGCCGATCGATCCGCGATTTTCCGCGACGTATGGCAATCCTTATCTCAGGTAAGACAATATCTCTCTGTCGCTTGTTTACGACAACCAGAAAGAAAATTAACATTTATTATTTTACTTACTTAAGATCTAATCTCAATAAATTGAAGAGTCCTCCTAATTAATTTCTCGAAAAATTATCGCCTCCAAATGCGCGAGATAATCTGCAGTGACAGTCCCGGTGTAATTTTAATGTAATGTAATTCGTCTTCCATGTAAGCCGAGGAAATAACCCTTCGTTCGCGCTCGATCGAAGTTCCAAAATTTCTGAGAGTGTCAACATAGTCATGAGAGCCTCGCAGCTTCGCTCGCGCGGATGCCTCGGACTAATTATAATTGGCTCGTGTCATTGATCGGCCGCGGATACCTTAGGCGGCATCACGTTCCGTTTACGTATACGTCGCGCAACGCTTGTCATCCCCGTGCGCGAGAATCTCACGTCGTACGTGCCGGGAATGCGCTCGTCGCGAACGGCTAAATTAGATATGAGAGCGAGGCGCGGTTGCATCTCGCGCGAGTTCCGGGAGATGCACTCGCTCGAGCCTTAAAAGTATTACGGAAGCGCGATGATTAAAAAATCAACCGAGAAACGAGGGAGAAGGGAGAATTCCTCAGAAAAATAGAGCGCGCGCAAATTCTATTCAAGGTTTCGCGTAAATTCCGTTTGCGACTGCACATTGCATTTGTGCTGTTTTTCCCGAGGAGCTCTTAAAATTCCTGTTTCGTTGCGTTCAGCGCGCGGTCCTCCTTTCAAAATTTTATACTCTCCCAGCGGAAGATGACCTCGAAGGAAGATCGAAGCGTCCCGCTATACTGTGTCTCTACATACGGGAGTCCACGCCTAGCCGTCCGCGCATCTGGCTCATACGTGCCTTCCCTTCCTTCTGTTTACCTTCTTCCACCAAGAATGCAAACAGCAACAACCTCACGTGTTTTGTTTCAATTCGGACCCAGAATCCAAGACTCCTCCCGAGCCGGGCTCAAGTATACGAGTACGAGAGAACGAGGCGACTCTTTCGGTTCGAGGACCGAAACGAGGAGTGAATTTCGTTACGGTTTCAGTTCAGGTCCGCGGTTATAAGGCAGTTGTGGAATAAAAATTGCCCGAGAACTGTCAGCGCGTCGAGATCCCCCGAAATCTTCCTTTTCCGAAAGAGGAAGAGTCGTCTTAGAGAAACGCTTTGCAACATGACTGACGAAACCTTGAGATGTACTACTTTCTCGAAGTGATTCAGTTTTAATCATTTAATCCGATCTCTTTTACGTACAATCAATTTCTAAGACGTCATAAATATTTTAACATTAGATATACTTTGGCGAGCACTTTTGAAAAATATCTAGATAATTATGTGTGTTATTTTTTAGTAAAGATAAGCTAGACAATGTCGTGAGAAAGAGAAAGAGAGCGCAGTATGATTTACAGTTACAGTTGAATCATCATATCACACTTTGCGAACAAACCTTTCTTATTGCTTAATTTTACGAAGTGTCAAATATCAATTTTTTAATAATTAATTTAACGATACAACGAGTACATACATGAGAATATATTTTACGTTGCATTTTGGCGCTTGTAAAAGGGAAAAACGTTGACGCACTCGTAACGCCTGGTGCATGAACGAAACCGCGACGAGTTCGCCGCGAGTCGTATTCAGTTACCGTTGTTTGCACGCCCGGTTTTCTCTCGCTCTCTTCTCTTTCCGCGATTTAAATTCTGACGCGGGGGAAAAAGCCCGATTTCCCGTCACTAACGCTCTGCATTTCTTTCTTGCAAACGAATACAGAATGTCAGCGGCCGAGCAGCTCCGACACGCGCCGCACACAGCCGTGCCGGGAGTCACGCCGGCACCGCCGCCGTACACGCAGGCAATGAGAATGAATAGCTTGAATACCTTGAACGGCGCTGGCCCGCAGGTTGGTACAATAGTGAAATGTATGTCAAATTCCTAAACGTAGTTACGCCGACGCCGCGCGCCGGAGTGCCGCGGCGCTTCGTGCAACTTGGGGTAGATCGGGAGCAGACTGTCAATATTGCAAAGCCATTGCAACTGCGCGCGCGCTACTTTCATTTTGCAACGCTAATCCTTTCCCGTACGGCCCCATTCCAATTCCCCGACGTACGTAAATTTCTCCCTGTAAATTGTTTTTGCCTGGTTCTCTCTGCATCGCATGCCTTCGCGTGTATAAGACGCAAAATAAAAGCTTCGCGCTCGAAAAAAAAGGTAAAAAAAGAGAGATCTGATAATCAGGTAAGTTGTGTTTCGAGCACAGTTGAGTTTCATCGACGGTCCAGATTTAATCTTTGGAATGTATATAAGCGCGGTATTAAGGGACGCAATGTAAATATGCGGGTTTTGGTAATTACACGGATACGCATGGATTACGATGGAGAATTAAATTGATTTATTTCTTATCTTTTTCAATCGTTTATTTCCATCGTTTATTAATCTCTTTTGTCAGCTGACAAAATTCGCAATAACGATTTATTATGTCTCACTTACATTCCAACTTAATCAGGCATGCTAATTATATACATATATTTGTAGTCGAAATAAACGAATAGAGTGAGAAATGGACGTATAGTAATACGAGTTATCGAGCGAAATAATAGTATAAACCAGTAATAATGTCACGCATTTGAAAAAGTATAATACTTAGTTGCTATGACGAAAACGTAAAATTTTCAATTTTTTTTTTAGGACCATAAAAAAATACCATAATAACGTAGCTGAAATTCATATTACGCAGTTTCACAAATCCTTTTATTTCCCCGAAATGAGAAAAAATATGGCTTTTACCACTTTTCCGCTCACATATTACTCGCTGGATGTTTTCATACTGTATAATTCAATCTTTGCACTATTTGAGGCTTTATAGTTTAATGGATATAGATGGGAACATTAGCTGGAATATCTGTTTTATGTTTCTATGGAGTTCGTGTAATTAAATATGTGTTACGTATCACAAAAATATATTAATGATGAACTTCAATTTTTCATAAATATAAAAATAAGCATGCAAGATTTTCGAAGAAAAGAAAAAAAATTATATACGTGTGTATATGTTATTTATAATCCTCTCCAATAATTAATATAATTTTCGTAGAAAATCAGAATCTATAGAATCTGTAATTGGTTCTTTTTTTTTCGTTAAATAAACATACCAAGCGATTCAGCTCGCTCTACGGAGGCACGTCTATGTATATATAATACATTTCTTAAATTAACAAGTACCCTTTTCGATGCAAAAGAGGTTTAAAATAAATATCTAAAAAGAGCTATGCACTTTTTTAAATTTAACGACGAAAATACACCACGGTTAAAAGCAAAGTAGTATCTGTAGAATTTAACGGCGTGGAAGTTAAATAATTCTCGATAACGTGACTCAGGATCCCGCGTTTCTTTTTGTTTTGCAGGCCCCGCTGTCAGCGCATTACATCACCGGCGGCCCAAACGGGGCCATGGCGACGGTGAAGCGCACATCCGCGGTGGGCACGTTAGCGACGCACGTATGAGGCCAGGGGATCTATCCGAATTAGAACCGTCGATACTCGGGCCTAACTGAAACCACCTTCGAACTCGGCCGTGCCCTCGAGACGTCCCGCTATCTGCTCGGTCCACGCCCGGCGACGCTGAGATCGACAACGCGCGACGCACGACGTCTCGTTGATGTATCGGAACAAAGTCAATGCCATTACGACGGGACCCGCCTGCACGCTCACGACACGGAACGCTATAGAGCGGAATGCGAGCGGCTTATAGGACGAAGGTCGCAGGGCAACTGGGGTCAAGTCGGGGTCACGGACCGAGCACAACGAATGGCCAAGAATGGCGAGGCGCTCAAATATATCGAACTGGTGCTTCGGCAGTTGCAAAGGGCCAGCAGAGATCATCAGGAGCTCGTGCGACAGCGTCACGCGGACGTTCAGTACGAGATCGGTAAGCGAATCAACGAGAGAGTCTGGCATCATCGTTATCATCATCATCATCATTTTCGAGATGGACGCGAGGATTCGATGGACGCGTCTCGAACTTGGTCCAGGTCCTCGAGCAGTCCGTGGGAATCGGATCTAACTCTGAGGAAAACGCAACCGGACGTTACAACGAGATTATTGACAAAGAGACGGGATTACGGAGGAACGGCGCAGAGCACAGTCGACATTCTGAGGCCAGTTCCTGGACGCGTTCGGGATGGAATACCTGCGGCCACTTACCAAGAGATGAAATACATTCCCGAAAGTGTCGGTTGGAAGGCGCGGGAAACGTACGGTGCGTGGAGTCTGCCTGGGGCTTCGTCGAGCAACGACCGAGGGACATCCTCCACCGTCGTTTAGTGCCGGGCGCTTTGTGCCGACGAGATTCGTCGATCTCGACAAGAGGGTTGCGAAGGAACGTGGGACACTTGACGAGAATCGAGATGAACCGGAGACTCTCTCGCGAAGGAGGGAAGATATCGACGTCGTGAAAACGTCGTCAACGAGCGACTCGTTCGCGTTAATGATACGCTTGCGCTGGGAAACTGCATCAATCGAAATCAAACTATCTCGCTGCGCGATGGTGAGCACGCTGAAGAGACGACCGGTGCGAAAGGGACGCCGATATCGAAGGGAACGGACGTACTCTCCTTTTGGGTCAATAAGATTAGATTTAGGACGACGAAGAGCGCGCCCCGTGAGTAGTGCGCTCGGAGGATGCTCGTGAGTACGTAAGGGGTACAGCGAAGGGGAGGAGGGAGGAGGGACGATGTTGGTTGGGTTCGTGGATCGAAGGTACTCACTTCGGTCGGTGGCGAAAACAGACCACTCGGTATCGACAATCTTCTATTGACGTACTTTAGATCTTCTATATAATAAGCGTTTAATAAGACTCGCTCGAGCGGAAAGCGACGGGAGACGAAAGGTCCGAAACGAATCACGTCGCGAATTGTTGCTGTCGCGGTGGTGGCCGAAATACCGGGAGACACGTCGGTCGGTGATCGACGATGCGGTTCATTTTCGCGAAACCTCGAGGGCCCTCCACGAGGGCTGGAAGTTTTATCGCGGAAGCCGCTTTCCCGGTGATTCGTGAGCCGAGGCTTGGGTTTACGCTTGACATTTACAGCGCGACGATTCTACCTGACACTGCCCTTATTAGCAAGACTGTGACAACGGGAGTAGTTATTAATTTTTCTATAGCTTTTCTATAGCTATACCCATTTCACATCTTCTCTCGACGCGATCTCAGTTATTATTTATAATAATATATTTCTCAAATTTCTATAAGTACTTCATATCTATAATTTCTTAATTTTTAAGTAATATTTTATGAAGTTTCGTTATAAAAATAAAATATTGAAGTTCGGAGATTTTTATTTCCACCAAAATTACGAAACTTACTTTCCTGTATTAACAGTTTCTTCAATAAAATACTCGAAATGTTTCGGGGTTCACGTTACAGCGCCGTAACGCCGTTGAACCCGAACGTCAAGCGTCAATTCACCGTAAACGAGACCGTCTCGGCTGCCACTCCGACGTTCACTGTGTCGCGCTGCCTTTTTGTATTTGTAGGGAAAAAAAATAATGAGATTTTTAGCTTATAAGAGATGTGCTCGCGCAACATCCGCGGACTTAAGGGCGCACGTTAAGGATTAACGACGACGCCGCGACGGCCACGTGTGGCTTACGTAGCGACCGACGACGGATCGCGACAAAAGTTTGCGTGGCTTCGCGTTCTCCTCCGGCCTCAAGTTCCACGTGCGACGGACAGGTAATATTATAGTGTGCAATGCGCGGGTCCGCGCGAAGGGATAAAATCGGCGCCGCGTGTTTTTGCGGGGTTGTTCGCATTTGTAAGATAGATAGCGAAAAATCATTAGGTATATACATACATAAATATATTATACACCTGTTGTCAATATGAGCATAGGGCCTACATATAGTTTGATGGCACTATCGTGAAAGCGAATTCTATTTGAAATAAGCTCGTTCGCGCGGGATAGGACGGCTTCATGTAAATAACTATTGATTAAATGATTACTATATACGTACGGGGAAAACGTAAGGGGAAATATACGAAACGGCGCGATGCCCTCGGCGTCCGCGGTTTCGTCGCGTATTTTTTTTTTTTTTTCAAAAAGAAAATGACGAAGGCGCGCGCAAATGTAGATCCGCGCCTAATTTTACTCTCTCGTAATGCATTACATTGTCATCTTTTCCATAACATATGTCCTTTTCATTACGACACGCCGTGGTTCGTTACCGAGGATCAGAAGACGCGAATTCAAGGAACAGAGTTAAATTTATTCTTCTAAATTCTGACGCCATTGTAATTTAACTAACTCTTTTATAATATTCCTCAAAATGGGTGATATGTGCGATTTAAGAGACACGGTTCCGCAAGCAGGATTGAAATATCCAAGTGAATTTGATTTTCAGGTTCGATAACATTAAATCTCTCACGACATTTCTAAGTTTAAAGTCGCTCGGAAAAAAAAACAGACTTACCGAATCACCCTCCAGATCCGCTGGTACTCGGGAACGATCGACGGCGCGAGCGATCCTGAAGTTTAATATAGTGCGACCGAGAAAAACGTATCCTGAAAAAAAAATTACGTCGCGTGTTGTGTAGGGCGGGCATAGGGGATACCATAATGATAACGAAACAGGGTAGCCTATCAATTATTAAGACAATTTCAAAAATCGAAGGCTGCACACTACAGATTGGGCCGTACGCGCGTATCCCGCGCCGTCGGGATTAACGATTAAATCTGCGCGAGAGGAAGACCCTCGGCGATTTCGTGTTTTAACGTCGAGGGGCGGAGGGGCGGGAAAGGGCGAAATTATTATTAAACGATACCGATCGTCGCACGTTGAGGAGCTGAAAATTCCGACGAACGCGAACGCGCACACGCGTTCGCGTCGTCAGGAAGATTATCTTTATATCGTAACGTCTGTAACATAACACTTCTGTACATATCTCGAATTATTGCTCACCGTATCTCGTAAGATTTAGTTAGTTTTGTAACTGTGAAACCACTATGTGCATACATACTTCACTTTATGAGAGGCGCCTCGTGACGAATGTTTCGCGCTCTCAAGGGAACAGAGTCCCGGTTTATACGGAAAGGACATCAGCCGCGTCTCTCTCTCTCACCTGCGAAAGACCTGTTTCGCAGATCGGACGAAAAATTATATATCCGGCTCATTTCCTGACGTTGACCGCGACTTTTTCCTCTCGAAGCGAAAACGCGTCGTCGAAGTCACGACGTAGGCAAGGCTTTAACGAAGGCTTTAATTTAATATTAACGCACCGAATGTACTAACATCCTTTTTTTAACTGTCGTCCACGTAGAAGCACGGCAACCCGGTATTAAACCTTTACGCTGTATTATTAATTGAAATTGCCCCGTTATATCGGATTAACGTTGTTTGTTTCTTTTTTTTATCCTTTTTCTTGCATGTCGGCAACACAAACTTTCGGCTTTCCTACTTGAGAACAAGTAGGAAAGTAGCGCGCGGTACACCTTAATTAAGACCGCCGTCGCACGACGTAGGTCTTGTACGGTAAGGAAACTTTTTTTTTAACTTCGCGTGAATGACAGTTAATTGCGGTTTCGTCGACGCGTTGTCGTATCATCGATGCAGGCCGTTGACATGGATTATTATCGCGGAATCATCCATCTGGGGTTTTCGCTTCTCGTGCATCATTCGATCATTCTGTACAATGTTCACGCCGATGTTATTGTTAACTATTTAAGATTTCGGAAGGATCTTCAGTTCGGGGGGCGCGCGCACGACGGCACTCGTGCGCGCGCGGAATGGTGAATAATGCATATATAAGTATCGTGCTTGCAAGTGGTACTCTCTCGAATGCCGAATGCACGGACGACGGGAGGAGGCAAAGAAAAGAAAAACGAAAGAAAAAGGGAGAGATCACATCCGTGGCACCTCATCGCGGGTGCATTCGGTGCGAGAAGTTATACATACAGAAGTTACATACGATTTCTATTATAAAGAGAAAAAAAAAGAGAAAAAACGTAGATTAAAGAGGTATACACGCGAGAAGTAACTACAATCAATGTACTGGATGGTCCGTGTGGCGATGTTAAAATTAGAAAAAAGTTTATGTCGTTTGAATCTTAGGAGTTTACGCCTTTTCTGCCATGTAGGACCATCCTATACGTATTAATTGGTTATCTGTCAATTATTAATTGAATTATATCAATTTCTTCGCCTTTAGTCAAGGAACGCCGGGGGGGAGGGTGGGAGGGGATAGCGCGATGGCGCGATCGCGTTGTTGTAAAGTCAAATTTCCTAGGCAATCTAAGAGACGCACAGAGTCACACACGATCCCTTTAACGAACGTACGCGCGAGCGATAAACGTTCGCGTAAACGAAAGACGTTAATTGCCTAAGGGGGTGGATTTTTCAAATTTGTTGATACTTTTCATACTTTACGATTAGGGATTATGGCCTATTACTACTATTACGCAAAGTTTATCCGCCGGCTCGGTCGTTTTTATTCGTCCTTCACCGTCACAGCCGCGTTTCGTGCGATCGTAGAGCACGAATTACGAATTACGTCGAAAGCTGTGAAACTGTAAATAGTTCTATCGGAAGGATACCTTAGAGCGGCATACATCATATATATATTGGAAATTCCATCGATCCCAATACGATACTTTCGTAAAATTTTATTTACCTATATTTGTGTCTATTAACGGTAACTTCACTTTTCTATAACGTTTGAGAGATAAAGACGGCGCGAATCCAGTCTATTAACGGTTTGCAAATTGTTATATCCGTAATCTGTTTAATACCAGCAATCCTTTAACGCCGAGGTCTCATAATTTCGCGATTTACGTACGAAATTCCAGACTCCTGACTACTGCATAAAATGTAAGGTATATAAATTTCATAGCTCTTTTAGTAGGCTCCAAAGTTATGCGCTACGACTAGCATGAATATGCCAGACGCCGAGAGGATCAAATTAATTAAAATGCAAATGAAATCAGTAAATGCTGCGACGTTGAAGAGTTAAAAGAAACGGACCGGACATCAAAAAATACGGCGAGGTATGCCCTTCTACGGTAATGCGTCCGACTTTGCCCTGTCTTAATAAATCGCGAGTATTAAAAAGGGCCGAGTCGGCTAAGAGATTCGTGAATGGGAAAGTAACTTTTTAGAGAATGAGCGCTCTCTTCGCGTACTACCGCGAGCTGCGTAACGTGGCGACGGATTACACGAATATAATCTATTTCAAATTCGACTGAACGACACACATAGAAGATAATATATACCCCCCATATTTTTCTCGATGTTAAGCTTTTTCTCGGAACGTATATGGAACGTAACGTACGTCTACGCGAATCAATCGGGGAAAAAGAAGAAAAAAAGACGACGTCGTCATTCGACATCGACATCATGTGTTTCGCGGCGGCCGGATGCAGCCGATCGAGTTTTTGAAAGTGCGAGCCGTGAATCCCGATTCGGAATGATCACTTTCGCTCAATTGCCGGGAGAAACGTGTTTATTTCAGCGACAACAGAGATCCTTTTGCCGAAAAGAGAAAGAAAAATATCAAATTTCTTCCGCGGTCTTTCTCGCGACCGCCACTGTTAGAGGAAGGGAAAGCGGGGAATTAAAAGAGTAGCCATCTGCGAAAAGTCTATGTTACGTATCTTCCGTGTGTGTATGTACGCGCGCGCGCGCGCGCGTGTGTGTGTATGTGTGCATGTGTGTGCGTGTACTATAATCATCTTTCATATAGGGATCAGTCAAATTGATTATACGATTTCGACGCAATTGATTGCATTTTAATACGTTAGGAACGATATTCTCACGTTACCTACTCGGAAACACGTAACCGACGTTGATCTGTTGCTGTCATTTTGTTCACCTCGCGATACGTCGCGAAGTAGAGCAATTAAAATGAAGAACGCTACGTTATTCCGAAATCGGTCAGAAAAAGCACACTAACCACAAGAAAGGAAATTTCCACGAGCGAAAGAGATAAGTCGCAATTGTTTGCATTACTCGTCCATTACTCGTTCGTATCGCGGAGCCTCGATTGCAATTACCGCTACCGATTAAATTAAGATTGAATTCCGAATTCCTCGCATGTACCTGTAGCATTAAAAAAAAAAAAAGAAAAACAAAGGGCGCGAGTGACGCCGATAGAGATTATACAATGTTCGCACAAGATCTTCCGTTAAAAAAGAAACGCGCGCGAGAGAGAGAGAGAGAGAGAGAGAGAGAGAGAGAACGAGAGAAAAGGAACGAATGAGAGCGCGTTGAAAGCGTGAAAGGGAAGAACGAGTGAAAAATTTTTTGCAATAGCGCGCTTTCGGTATATACGTCGGGGATTGAAAACCGGTACGTCTTCGACGACTTCGATTTCCGCGCGAGCGTGACGGAGCATCGAGAACGTAAAGCGCGAGCGAAATTACACCGGTTTTAAATCCCCCTCCCGATTAAACGCTAATCTCGACGGATTGCATGTACAGTAAATAACGGCGTAAGTGTAAGATAAAAATTGCCATGGCAATTCGTAACTGTCCCGCGCCGAACGTGGCTGGCGAGGGACACTCGAAGAGCGCTTACCGTATATCCAATCGGCGGCGGCGGTATTGCAAAAAATTCCCTAATGCGTGAGTGAGTCTGAGAACTTTATTACAACGCAAAGTGGTCAATCTATTTCGATATGACAGTGTGCCAATAATTCTTCATCCCAGTGTAGCTGAACGTACATCACGTTTCTTTCATTCGTTTCGCTGTAACGAGGTCCCGGGGAATCCGATCGTGGCCGCGTGATCACATTTTTTTCTTTTTTATTCGACACATACGCATGATATTACCGTAAGAGTGTAAGTACAAAAATATTACGACCTACTTTACTTTCGATTCGAGATATTCCGTAAGAATGTTGGAAACGTTTCGCGTCCACGAGAGATTTTCGTTCGATCTCCAAAAAAATGTTGGAGCGGGTTGAATCGATCAGAATTAATTTGCTATAAAAAAAATTTTGCTACGCCAATCGCTTTATTTCTGAGTGGCACGCTCCAGTGTTTTTTTTTTTTTTCCCAAAGTGTTCGGCTTTGCGCGAGCAGTGAAAGACGATGAATTTGCACTTTCTATGTATGTGCCTCGGAAAGACTTTTGTTGCCGTATTCGTCCAAGTATAGTCTTCTATATCTCACGTAATCGCGTACGATTTCTTTGTATACTATCGATGAGTTTTTCTTTTTTTCAAGGAAGGCTTAACGAGACGGTGGATCGGTTTGTGAATAATGTAAAACATTTTCTCCCGGGCGGAGGGGGTGACTTCCGGGCCGCGCGGCCAAGATGGAGATTATTTATAATTTTTATCGCTTCGATCGCAGTGGCCTGTACTTTCATTCTCTGCGTGACCCGGAACTTCGCTCCCCCCTCCCTCCCGATGTTATCCGGACTGATCTCCGTGCAAACGTTTCGCGCAGGCGTTTGACGAAGATCAGTCGTGTGTATCCGTTTTCAAGAAAGAGAGAAAGAGAACAAATAAAATAGATTACTTCATATAGCACACAGTTGAGCAAACTGTAATGAAAGCAATGAAAGAAAATAATGCTATTTTTATATGTTGCACTTCATCATCATCTCCGCCGTAAAAAGACCCGTAGTTATATGAAAGAGAAGATCTATTTCGGTTTTCCTTTTTCTTTCGACTCGTATCCATTGGGCCATTTCGTGTCGCCGAAAGAATTTCGCCGAAAAAGCGCACGCTTCTGCAATTTTGAGCAGTCTCGATGGAACGATGATCCGACACATTTATGTAAATCAAACATAGCTATATTCAGAAATAAGCAACATAATTCCCTTCCTCTTTATTTAAAAGTTGGCAGATATATATATTTTAAATAATGTAAAAGTGGATTTAACATGACATCTCAGGTGTCTTTCTTTTATGTATACGTGTGTCAAGTACATATCATCGCGGGATATAATTACACGAATAGACTGCGCGGTGACAGAGATTTATAATGCAAGTATTTGCATATCCTTACACGTGCAATCAAGACAAGAAATGACCCAATAATATTACTGTCATGATATTTAGCAGCTTAGAACAATCGAATCGATGAGGAAATATCTCGGATCCAAGAGATGCTCTTGCTCACAATTAATCTAGATTACTATAGTAAGATTTACGATTATTGTATTATTACTAAATATATCTACATTCCTTTTCAGAATCTACCACTATTACTTTACGAAGCTATCTGTAAATAAGTATTTTGTATTCCTGCAAAAGAATAAAATTAAGAATCATTATAACTCGTCTGATATTTTATAGTGATAAATAATATCTACTAAAACCTTTACATTAACAGCAAAAAATAGAAGACCAGATATCCAAATAAAGACGAAGGAATTAAAACTTTGGAATTCTAGCGTATAAGCGGTTAACAGCCAAATAGCTTGGCTTAAGAGCCAAGAACACACTAACCATACGCTCCGGCGCAGACTCATTTCGATATTTGGTAGGCACAGAGGTAACAGAGACAGAAACCAGAAGAAGTACTGGGAAGTTATTACCGGATTATACATCACCGCGATTATCGCCTGGACGAACATAGCGAACGGCAAGTTGGATTTTTCCGAATAATAATATGACGACATTAATAACAGTAGTAATTGCGGCAAAAACGTAAGGACCTTCTGAATTAAACTCTGTGGTTGATTAGCGGATAAGTAGAGCATGTAGAAATACGCGGAAAAATTGTGCCTCGTGTCCTTACGAACTAAATGATATATAAGACTCTCGTACAAGAATTTAAAGCCATACAGACGGTAACCCGTGGCTGTCAACGTGACGATCGAGAATGCACAACCAAGCACGAGTCTCCACTGGTCTCTATTTGGCAGAAAGCGATTACCTTTACATAGAGACAGAAACATGGGCAAACTGAACATCAACGGATATAATCTAAAATGCACGGATATCCCGTGTAACAATCCGGCCAATACAATTTTGTCTCTCTGTAACAAATCTAACGTGAGCACGACCAAGAGAACTGCCAATGAATCCGCGTTACCCCTCGTCGAGATCACCAATGTTAACGGATTGTAAAGCCACAGGAGCGCGCAGCGATCCCTCACGGTCTCGTCACATCTCTGTCGCGCGAGAATATTTCTAATTAGGACCGCGATCAGTATATCTACCACGGAGAACAAGATCTTTCCGAAATTCTTATGTAATGTGACATTCGGGGTCATAAGCCAGGCCAGAAACGGCGAGTAGCGGTAAGTATGACGATCGAACGGTGATCTCTGTTCTACCACGTGCCTAGCGGCGTCAGTAAATACCTTATAATCCACATCCGTGTACGGCACTGCGAAGTACTCGTCGTGAAAATCTGCGTACGCTATCAAGACTAATCGTAGAACAAATGCCAGTAAGCAGTGCGACGTAAATGACGGGATGCCGAATTTAGCGCGTGTCGCAGTCATCGCTCTCATCGTGGTAAGGCGTTAAATCAAATGGAGAAATCGACTAATCTTCAAGATCACATTTATAATCTCGTATTATTGCTCGCAGCGGCTTTAACAAGACATTTTTTCAATTCGTTGAACTCCACGGCGCAAGCGTTCCTCTCTAAATTCGATTTTGCTAATACACAGGTGGCGTACTTCGACGCCGGTTCGTGACATCGGGCTAATAAGATTGGATACTGTCTCAGTCTCTCCTTCGCTTTCTTTACAGCCTCCATTCTTTCACAGAAGCAAATTTACCCAGACTTTTCCGGGATCTGTTTAATTTTTTCCAAATCCTTTGGCGGTTTATAAAAAAATATATCATAAATAGGTTTGCTAAAAAATACACACATAGCAAGTGTTGCTCCCGCTAGAACAAAAATTCGTGGATAACGTTGCGAGAATTTTCTTTTCGGCACCACTATCTTCCTCCTCTCTTCGTATCGCATTGTTTATCTTATAACTTTTCGCTGAAAGAACGTTACAATTGAACAGTTATAATAAAAGCTATAATTGCCGAGATGTAAACTAATAAAAGATAAAAGTCTACATATGAATAAAGAGTATAGAGAGAATGTTAAACTTACATAATCTACAGTATTATGTTCGTACGGTTTCGAGGTATCTATACCGTCGCAAACTTTAGAATTGGAGGAATTTTTTATGCAACACTTTCTTATCTCTTCGAGCACTTCTTGACAACGGGAAGGCTGATAGACATTGTCTGAAAGAAAACAGAAAAACATCATTTCATATTTAGTTTAGTAAAAATTTAAATATGCATTTATTATTTAATTCAATTTTATTCGAATTCACTGTTTGATTTATTATTTGATTCGACATTAACACTTGTTCATTATTGCTAATTCAAAAAATCAAGCATAAATTGACATTGGTAACCCTATTTTATTCAATGACATTGAATGTATTAATACAAAATATCTTTCCATTTATCTGAATATTCGTTGTCTTTTTTGCAATACTTACAATTCAGTTTTTTAAGGTTTTTACATACATGTACATCTATATTCTAGATTTAACAAAAAGAGGTTAGAAAAGAATCGTTTTTCTATACTCTTAAATTCGATTATACAAACCTTTTAAGCACTTCTGCAATTTACATGCAAGTTGTTTGCAGGGATCGACCGTCGTCATACAGAATAATCAAAAAGGATTCTGTAAATCTTTCTTATAGATACACACTACGTCGAATTATTACATAACTTCGACCGGCACTACCTAACCTAACCTAGCCACTACGGACTTACAATGCGGACTGCTTTTCTTTCTTTCTACTTTTTCTTATAATGGTCCCCTGTACAGGGGTATAATTGGCCTTGCAATGCACAAGTGAATTGTGAAACACCCCCGACAGGTCTCGTTACCGAGTTCAAACTCGGAGAATGATGTAATCAATCGAGCCGAAACGGTGCGTCCACCCGCCTCGAGCTCAAATAAAAAACTACGGAGTACGGAGAGAGGATCCGGCATCCGCGAGAGCGGCAGTACACTGCACTGGTGCAGAAAGTGCAAAAGAACAGACTTTTAGGTGACGTTGCTCTGCTATCGGAATAGAAAGAAATTAGATATGCCCAATAATACATATCTTTTAGCTTTCATTTTCCAATTATTAATAAGTGCATCGTCGTGTTAAAATGTTATCATTAGGATGTCTATTCTGTTACGGAGTGTCGCTGATTATACCCATAATAATTCTGGTATGCTGAGGTTATCTTTTTGCACACTTTTTCAATAACATGTTGCAACTAAATAATTTGAAGAATAATTTTATCGTGAAACTCTATATTACGTAGCCGTATGAAATGTAAAAGGAAAATTTTAATTGTTTTATTATACCGCTTTTTTACGGAAGTGTCTGTTTTAGTTTTGTGTCATAATATATATGACAAGCGAACGGTATCCTAAAATCTCGAGGGATGAGAATGAACAGTTCTTTTACAACTGTCGGACAAAGAGAAGGGAAGCGTTCCCTTCGCTACACGATCCCTGGAGCGTACATCTCAGTGTCATTGTACCTGCTTACAATGAAGAACAAAGACGTAAGACTTACTCGTCGTTGAATATGTATTATCTCTAGATGTGCTATTTACGTGTTATTTATATACTTTTCTTTCTGTTTAACAGTGCCTCCAATGTTGAACGAATGTCTGGAGTATTTGGAGGAACGTAGCAAGTCTGGCTTAACTTACGAAGTGATAGTAGTCAGTGATGGCAGTACTGATAAGACTGCAGAGGTGGCACATCGTTACGCAACAAAAAACAACGCTCTGAGAGTGTTAAACCTCATGAAAAATCGAGGGAAAGGTGGTGCTGTAAGACTGGTTAGTAATTCTGGAATTGAGAAGCTTTGTGTTGTTGTTAAGTCAATTTTATATTGTAATACATTTTAATTTTTTTTTTTCAAGGGTATGCTGAGTGCAAGAGGCAGCGCTTTACTGTTCGCAGATGCAGACGGTGCTACCAAGTTTAACGATTTAAAAAAGTTAGACGAAAGTCTGGTGAACGTTTTAGGATGTGAGTTGCAAAAAGAATTAAAATTTTGATGGTTCTAAATTATGGATTATAATATTAGCGTTACACTAATTTTAACGAATTTGTTTCAGTCGATTACTTGAACGAACCCGAGAAAACTGCGTCGTCCGATGCGATAATATGCGGATCGAGGGCGCATTTGGAAAAGGAAGAAACCGCCAAACGGTCTTACTTCCGACTCTTTCTCATGCACGGGTTTCATTTCTTGGTCTGGCTGTTGTGCGTTAGGGGCATCAGAGATACGCAGTGTGGATTCAAGCTCCTAACGAGAACATCGGCGAGAACAATATTCGAGGCGCTGCACGTCGAACGCTGGGCATTCGACGTGGAGATGCTCTACATCGGACAGACTCTCGGCATTCCTGTGACAGAAATAGCGGTAAACTGGACGGAGATCGAGGGCTCCAAGATAATACCATTTTGGAGCTGGCTGCAGATGGGCAGGGATCTTTTTTTCATCTGGCTTAGATACAGAATCGGAGCTTGGAAGATAAACAAACCTAAAAAGACGACTTAGTATTAATGCATAAAAAAATTCGTCGGAAGATCTCGATTGATCTGTTTATCCCCCCTTCTTTTGTAAAGACATTTTTAATAACGAAATATATTATGAACATTATATACACAAAGAACACAGTGTATTTGTATAAAATTCTATATAGAGGAATTTATAATTATGAAATGTAATTAAGTTATAAAATTAGTTTTTTTTTAAATCTAACTACATATAACATATATTACGACGAATTATGTTTTTAAACGTATGCATAAGTTTATAACTATAAAATGATAGTCTTAAAAATGAAGTACAAAGTCACGTTCCTATAGTAACACCAGATTCTGAATTTCTGACGTCACCGACTGACAGACATTGTCATCAATTATGTGTTTTAATAATTAAGATGTTTTAAAATTCTTCCTTTTTATCGAATTATACATGCATTACTCGAATTACTCAACTTATAGATAGCTGAAAATAATTTTAAAACGAAAAAACAGTTTTGTCTGTACAATGCATTTCTTATAATTGAACTTTTTACATTTTTTTTATCTTTTTTTTTCTCTTCAACATCATTCGAGCGATAAATTGATGAAGAGAAAGAAAGCGAGAATTTTGCAAAGAGTATAATCATAGTGGATGTAGCACGGACACCACAAATCGTATACCCGCGGTGCAGATGAAGTGTGAATGTTGCTACGTAGTTTACATCCATTTCTTCAAGGGGCGTTAGTGCGGGCACGAGGGCATTAAGTGCATTTTGAGGTTACATGCAACAGGCCGTCAGTCCGTCACGTCCTCTCTCTCGAGTTTCTCTCAAGCTACATGAACAGACTCAATACAGTTCTGAATTCTGATTGGGCCACATCAGCCAGTCAAAGCATACTTATAAAGTGACGTGCGCGAGTCGCGACTAGTGGGGAGCATATCCGCGTCACGTCACACATCCAAGAGCGACCGCGACTGTCACTGGCATTGTGTGTTTATCTACGCTATTAACAAACGCAATATCTCGCAAGATATCGTACCGTTGTCTCATTTCGTCGTGACTTTCCTTGCCGATCATTAACGAAAATGTCTTTCATATCGCCGATGCCGAGTCAGCAGTTTCTTTGGGACGTATTTCAGAGGTATTGTTATCCGCGGGTTCTACAAATTGCTTTGAAATTTGATTACATTCTATATACAACAAATTATTCTGCAATTATTATTTGAGATATAACCCTCTCTTTCTAAGTACTCTTAGACTGCAATTTTAGGCGCTCGTGATTTTTCTTCCGCGACGAGAATCTTCGCTTTCAGGAACTTTGATAGTTTTCTTTATACAAATTTTGCATTTAAATGCTTGTATATCCAATAGATATTTATACGGTATATTCATTCGACCAAATTCTTCTGTTTCCACTGCCTGACATAACTATGTGTTAACAAAGTTGAAGACTGAAGTGAAGAATAAATTTATTTATGTTATTAATAATATTTAGTTGACATAATTAAAGATGATGATTTCATCACAGGGTAGACAGAGATAGATCTGGCGCAATCAGTGCGAACGAACTACAACAAGCTCTCTCAAATGGCACATGGACACCGTTCAATCCCGAAACTGTACGCCTAATGATTGGTACGTTTATAATATATATATATGTTCAAAATGACCATGCGAATTATTTATAATGTATAGATTGCTTGTATCTACAATTTCTTCTATACTTCTATATTTAAAATCCTCTCATCTCTTCTGTAAGTCTGAACGAAAAAGGCTGAATATCTGTCGCTTTGATGCTAGAGACACGCCACTTCATTATTATGCTGTTAATTTTAAATCACGTAGGAGAGTATTCAGATTTCCACCCAAGTACTCCACAGGTATCATCTTACTCTTGTTTAACATTCGGTGAACAAGAATAAAATGACACCTAAGTGACACTTGAATGAGAATCTAAGTGCACTCGAGCATGTTACGTGTTATTTTAATTTTTCTGATATATTTATAAAGTGATATGAAGTTATATGTACATGATTATAAAATGATATATGTACGATATCGATTTGCATGGTCTTTTGATATTATTATTATTTTGTTCCTTGCTTTTGTTGGCACAGGTATGTTTGATAAATCCGATCCTGCTACAGGTATGTTTGATAAGAAGCAGTCAGGTACTGTCAGTTTTGAAGAGTTTGGGGCGCTCTGGAAGTACGTCACCGATTGGGAGAGTTGCTTCCGATCGTTCGACCGCGACAACAGCGGTAACATTGATCGCAACGAATTGAAGACGGCTCTAATAAATTTCGGATACCGGCTAAGCGATCACATAATTGACATGCTGATACGAAAGTATGATCGTGCAGGACATGGTACAATATACTTTGACGACTTTATACAATGCTGCATTGTCCTACACGTAAGTATATATAGAAGTCCAGCGATCTAATTATTTCACTAGGTGCGGCATGTGACCTTGCCTAGAAATACCTATTGACTTTTATGTCAGAAACTTCTATTCAGGCGCAATTGATTTGAATATCCACGAATTAAACGTGCATTTGAATGAGTTATTTTTATTGTCATTATAGATTTGAATAGCATTAGTCAAACTAATATTTTTAAGCCTACATATTTAAACATAATTTAAAAAATAGCTTGCCTGGTAATTTTGAAAATATTCAAATTTATTATAAACAAATGTAATAATTATATTTTCTTATCTTTAGACCCTTACAAACTCTTTCAAACGACTGGATACAGATATGGATGGTGTTATAACAATCCACTACGAACAATTTTTGGGCATGGTGTTTGGTCTCAAGATATAAATGCACAATGTCACTCAGCAAATATTTTTCTTTCTTGTCTGTTTTAGCGAGAAAGTATATTCAATATATGAGGATACAATAAGATGCCAAATAAAGACAAAAATTTTTATGTGTTATGTGTAAAGAAACTCAGAATCTCCAACTTATTATTTGACAAGAATGTCACGTGCAAAATTATATATAAAACATAATTATATAATTCTTAGCATTCTTGTAAAATAGTAAATTTTGGAGATTCTAAAATATAAGTGTTAATTAAACAGATATAACAATAAAATTATACTATTACATTCGTTTAAAAACAGACGATGGAGTCTGTTAATACAAGTCAATTATAATAATATACAAAACATCACTCTGATCTAATCAAATAATTTATTTGCAAAGTTTGCAAGTTTAAGTGCACTATGACTTCCAGTATATTGTTACATACATGTATTAACTGTTATATAATGTAAGAATTTACGAGTATAAATGTGTGTAAATTATGGCAGATAATGTAACAATTATAAGCAACAATTAAAACATCCTAAATTGCTTGTTAGTGCTAAATTGCTATTACACATTTATTAATATTTTATCAACGCATATGATGTTTACAGTTGTATTTTTCTATAACTATACTGTAATGTTAATAAACGATCTAAAAATGTATTTCTTTCACAAAGTAATTTATTGTGTGTTACTTTCCTAAGATTACAAGGTATAGATCAAAAATACAAAAACTATAGACTCACTGCGGTAAAGATATTTAGTTTATTGTAATTTGTATCTTAATAATAACTTTGTAATTTTGTTTTTATAATTTGCTCTAATTATTTCTTCTCTTCAGATTTACAACTTCTGGGCTTCTGACGTATCGACGCATTGAGGTCTTCCTCGCAATTTGAATATGCCATACCTAATCCAAAGCCAGCTCCAGTTATAATGGGCCACTTCCTTCCTATAACGAGAATTCAGTATATCCATATACATGTTCTACAAAATAATTAAAATGTAATTTGACAAGACGGCATAAGATTTCTTTAAATTTTCATGAACTATTTGACTGAACGTTTACTTGTGCTCAAATATGTTACAATTATTCATCAAATCGCTACGATACAGTGAAAATTATCTACACTGTCACATATATCCATGAAGCCATTGCTCTTGTAAAAAAAAAATACAAAAGTATTCTGTCAAAACTATACTACGAATAAAAAAAACTACATATTTTCATTCAGAATCAAAGAGATTAGTTCATCTTCTGCAATCAGATATTTCTCCGCTTATGAATAAAAATTTACATAATCAGTCAGCACTGATTAATTGTTGAGACTTAAAAGATATGAATGTATGACTGTGCAACTTTCATGTCACATGACGTATAGATAATTAATATTTTAACAACAAAATACACCGTGCGATTGGAACATATGCAAATTATTAATGTTCCGCGGGAACATGCTGGACTGAATCTAGGCGTATGTACGAGTCTCTGAACAACATCTCGCTACATTGACTCCCGACACAATTATAATAACAAATACTGCAGTTATGTCATCGGAATAACGACACACGTATCCGCACGTGATTACATCTTACTTTTGAAGAAAAATAGAGAAAACACTCCGCCGAGGATCAAGCCGCCACCTGAGGAAAGAGAAGACCTGTCAGTAAAACTGTCACGCGAGGATAACATCCGTCGTCGCGGGCGTGCTCGGGAGCAGACAATTACCCAGCTTGAGAATAGCGTCCGTAAAGCAGCGGTCCCACTTTCGCCCGATCTCGTCCTCGGCCCACACGGCGCCGGCCATTTTCGCGTGTTTAATGCCGCCTGCCTGTTACGTCATTCACGGGAAACGAGACGAGACGTTCACGTGCGTCCGACGATCGGTCATATTGATCTCCCCCGCGGTCTCGCGCCTCTCTCTCTCTCTCTCCTCTCTCGGTTTCGCTTGCGCGCAGCCGCGCGTGAATTACGGACCACCGGCGACGGAAATAGCGAGACTCGATTCTTTTCAGCTGATATTGTCATAAATAAGTTAGAGATGGGTGGATTTTCGTAACGCGCGCTGCTCACGCATGTCTGCCAACTTGAGGGTAATACATACTCGAGTTGGCATTCGACGGTCTTGTCCGTTCGGAAATTTGCGTAAACTCCGTCTTCTTCCCGTATTTTCCGTGTTATCTTGCGATTTTTCCCCTTCTGTTCGTCACGGTGTTGATATTCAGATCATTCGATACAGACAATTCGAGAGAGTTATTTATGAAAAAAAAAATAGAAGACAATTCGATAAAAGAAAAAGAAAAAAACTCGTCACACCTGCAACTAGTGAATTGGTAGTAACTAAAAACGAAACGAGCTACCAATATAAGAGTTGCAAGTTCAGACAGCTGCGATTGGTCGGTCGCCGCCGGTGGAGGTTGATCGAGCGAAGGTGAATGAATTAAACATGTATTTATTTCTGTATTAAGCTTCGCTCCGCTTGTCAGACGTGATCATGTTTATGTGTATATTTAGGTTAGGTATCCCGACTCTTTTTACTGTTGTTTACAAAGGCTCGAATTCGGATTGAATTGTGAGGAGCGAGCTCGACGTGTCGACGTAGCGGTTGGCCGGCCTGCCGGTGTCCGTAAGCGAGTCACTTCACCCACACGTCCCGTCGAGCGCGAGAGGCAGGTGCGCTGTCCTGGTCGTCCGCGAGAGACGTCTGGATCGGCGGTAAGGACGAGGGAGTTCCACGGGGGGTCACCGTTCGTGCGTGCGGTGCGTCGCGTTGCGAGATCGCGCGGCGCGGACGGCTCCGTGTGAAAAAAAAAAATAATAAAAGGTCGCGAGGGCGACCCTCGTGGGCGCGCGCATCGCCGCGGCAGCTGTACATCCGGCGGAGCGGTGCGCGGGGAGCAGTGCGGAGAGCAGTGCGGAGCAGCAGAACGTTCGAGGGAGGAGAAAGAGAGAGGCTCCGTCGAAAGCGGCGGCACACCGGCGGTGTTCCAGGAGTCCGCGGTGTCGTGGCGGCAGTGACAAAGAGGGAGGGTGAGAAGCTAGTCTGGTGAGAGGAGAGGAAAAAAAAAGGGAAAGAGAGAGTGCGCGAGTGTGCGTCAGAACCGATCGGGAGCCGTTTTGACACGACGCGTGGGCGCATCGTCGTGCGAACGCGCGCGCGTATTTCACGTCCGCCGCGCGTTCCGGGAGGTGAAGTGAGAACGGCGCGCGAGTGCGACCGACGTAGGTGTGGACACTAGGTGGGACACGCGCGTGCGCGGCGTCCGTCTAGGGAATCTCGGCGCCTCGCCGTTGCCTGTCCGCGTCGCGTATCGGCGGACGGAGCCCGTCGCCGCCGCGCTCTCTGCGTGCGTGAGTCGCGCCACGAACACGGAGCCGCGGGTCGCGCGGAGTCGAGTGAGGTCCGCCGCGCCGAGTGAAGTCGCCGCCGAGTAGACGAGGAGAACCCCCGGAGTATCGTGAAACCCCCGCGGAGCAGCGAGAGGGAGAGAGAGAGAGAGTCTGGAACGCGCGCGCGAGCGCACGCGGCTCGCTCGCGCTCGCTCGCACGCTCGCTCAGGTAAATCCCGCGGCGCTCCGCGCGGCGCGTAATGGAGGAGCCGATGACCGCGAAACGCACCCGGAGCAGTACCAGCAGCGACAGCGATAGCAACAGCGGAAGGAGCAACAGCGGCAGAAGCAACAACAGCAGCAGCAGGAGCGGCAACGGCACAACTGTGCGCAACAACGACCGTCACAACCACCACCACCGCCGCCGCCGCCACGGTAATGCCGTGCTGCGCCGCGTCGCCAGAGCGTGAGCCGCGCGATTCCTGTCGTCGACTGTTCCGGCACCCGGCATCCCGGCGGCCGCCGCCGGGCGTGAGAGGCGGGTCGAAATTGCTATGGGATCGTCCGGAACGACGAGGCCGTACGACGCCGCAACAACGACCGTTCGATTCCTCCTGCTGCCGTGACGTTCGCCGACCATCGGGCCGCGCCAGGCGCGAACAAGGAGTAGTAGGAGCGACAGCACCTCAGATACGCTTCCTCGGCGCGCCGCGACGCACCGCGCCCTTCCACGTCCGCGTCCTACGTGCCGTCGGTCGTTCCTAAACAGCGGGCCCGGCGGGCCGAGAAGGATTAGAATATCGGATCGCTCGCGGGGCGAGAGGTTAGGAGGCTGGCATGGGGATTGATCCCCGTGAGGTGGCATCGTCCGTCGAACTCTGACAATCAGCCAGTCAGCCAGCCCTCCTCGGCACCCCTCTCATCTCCCCCCCCCCTTCCCTCACTCTTCTGTCGCCGCCACCCGCGCGTCCTACCCTTCCGCGCCCTATACACAGTGTACACCGCGCCCGCGCGTGCCCTTTTCCGCCTGCGGAAATTGCGGCGAGTGTCGCGTTTGTGTCGGTTCTGTTCCACCGTGTCGCGTCCCGTCGTGTCGCGCCGCGTCGCGTCCCGTCGTTGTGTCCCGTCGTTCGCGCGCTTCCCAGGGGCATAGAGGATATGCCCTGCACGGGGATCGATCCCCGTCACTGACCCAAAACTAACGTCGCCGTCGCCGATCGCCGTCGTCGTCGTCGTCGTCGTCGTCGTCGTCGTCGTCGTCGCCGCGAGTGTGGTGGAAAATCGTGTGCGCGTAGTTGGATCGTGTATCGATAATTAAATTGTCGCAACCGTGGATAACAACGGCCGGTACGAGATGCAGAAGCGGGACGGCAGGGAAAACCGCGGCGACAAGGAGCTCGGGGCGCGCAGCTCCGAGCGCGACCAGGAGGTCGCCAAACGGACCTCCAGGGGCAGCGGTAACGCCGCCCGGTCGAACGTGCACTCGTCCCGGCACAGCGTCACCTCGTCGTCCGGCGTGCTCATGGTCGGCCCGAACTTCCGGGTTGGCAAGAAAATTGGCTGTGGAAACTTCGGGGAGCTTCGTCTCGGTGAGTCACTTATCGCTCGTTCTACTCCACGTATCGCGGCCGATCGAATCGGTCTTTTTTCAGGGATAAAAAGAAATGAGCGAAATCCACTTTTTTTTCGCGGGAATTAAAAGGAAATATTTACGGTGCAAACGTAACGTTCTATTATCGTCTCGTTTGGAAAATATCCGCCTCGGCGTTTGAAGTTTTCTGTACGCGGAATGTTCCATCGCGACATTAATCTTAATGGCAGGTTTCCTGATAAAATTATGATCGATTTTTCTTCAGCGAAGACGTCGAGATACCGACAGTTGTCGAGAACGATTGAGAGAGAGTGAGAGAGGAGAGGGGGGGTGCGGGTCTTACCGCAAATTGTGCTTGAGAATCATGAATAAGTAACAAAGTCATATTCTTTACGGCCAATTCTTAAAACAGACTCCAACAGAATTTTAATTTGATGGTTCAAGTTACGAGGATATGTAACGCGTTGAAAAGTGGAGGGTAAACGATGACCTCCCTCGACATTTTTGCCGAGAAAAAGTCGACTCTAAATTAAGGCATTCTGCCACTACAATTAAGGTCGCGAGAATTGCGGTACACCTATACGTATATGTATATATACATCTTACGCGAAAAACATCGTGTGTACGACAACTCCGTTTTAGACAAATTTAGAATGGTGCTCATTCTCGAGCGAGTGATTTCTCGATTGATACCGCAATGTATAGCGGTGCGACTCGGCCATTACATCGAACTTTTCTTGTAACGTTTTTATCACATCGCATCTCTTTTCGCATTTTCATACGTTAAGCTAATTCCTGTCTCGTAAAAGCGATATCGGAGTAAGATCGATGCCGATCTGCGAGAGGCATCGCGAAATTAAATTGACGAGTAAAAATAGTTTCCCTCGCTCGATACTATTAGATATGGATAGTCTGCGATTTATCTATCGTGAAGTTATACAAAGCGAACATAATTAATCAAGGAAATTAAATATTTAACTACCGCGAATTTATACGAGGCATATAGGATGAATTAAGAAAATTCTTTAAACTTTTAGTATTATTTATCTATTATGAATTTATATATGAAGTGTATAACATAATGGCAGAGGGAGGGTTTAATTTATATAAATTTATTAAAACACGGAAAAAGGAGGATAACATAAAAGCACTGCGCAGAGAAAAGTTTTCGGAACGCTGCCAGGAGCGCGACGGAGGGCACACCAACTTTTCTCATATTCTCGCAAGCCGAAAAACGAGCAAAACGACACGTTAGATCTCGTCACGTGGCCAGCGTCCATCATTTTTTTTTAAATCGAACTACGAGCATTGTTTACCACGATACTGCAATCTGCAGTCTCGTGTGTAACACAGCGGCGAAATTGGGAGTTATCAGCCCCTCGAGAGAGAGCTTGCGACGGTTTGTGTGACTAATGATGTCTGCCGCGTGTTGAAAACAATGATTCTAACATCGGGAGAGGCTAACGCTCTCCCGATTATCGCGGTAGTAGCATAATACAGAGCGATTCCACATACTGACGCTACTCTATGTAGACCGGAAGCCTGCAAATATTGATGTTCCTCCCACAAACCGCCAACGTGCACTCGTGACTATTAACGGCAAACACAGCACGAATTATTTTTATCCCTTTTGAGTTATAAAATTATACGTTCGATCGCGCCGTCGATTTTCGATTAAAATGCGGTTTGAAGAACTCTAGAGAAACCTGTGCAGTGCACGTATAACCTTTTCCACTCGACTTTTTTTAATGCAATTTTTCCGATTGAAATTGTCGTCGAGAAACAGTCGTTTTACAGAGTCTCTTCGATGTCTTTTCGAATTGATATTTGTCGAAAAAGAAAAACCATCCATTTCACGTTCTTTCGGTAAGATAAACCCTTCTCACTGACGTTTCTTACAGAGACGCGAGTTTCTCAACAGAGAAATCTTTTGCCGAGCTGACGAAATATCAGGCGGGCTGACACAGCGAAACGGCTTTGCAGCTTTGATGCGCTTGGAGCAACATCTTGGTGGCGTTTCATCGCGAGCGCGAGTAGCGAGCGATGCTCAGGGAAACATTGCGTTTTCCATGCAATGTAATGTTCCGAGCGGTTGTTACTGCAAAAGCGTTCATGCAGAAAATCCTACCATACGCCCGGCTCATTGCGCGGTTTATACGAGCCGCGATTTCGCTGACGCGTTATTACCCATTCGTAATGATGACTTTGTTAGTAATAGCCGCGTTAACAGCTCATTCGATGTCATCGTCGACGATTATATCTCGCTCGTGACATACAAGCTAATAATTAGCTTTCATCGGCTGCTATAATATCTGCAGAGAGATTGTATACTCCAATAGATAGATAAACTTATCTCCTTGCAGCGATGTTTGCCTAGAGAAGAGGGGGAGGGAAGGGAATGGAGGGCATATGGAACGAAAAGATCAAAAGGGGACATAAATTTTGATTGCTCTGTGAAATATTTATCCGGTACGCATATGGAGAATAAACGTAGAGGAGAAGACGATCTTTTTCGACAACGCCTCGGGAGCGAGAACGAAAGAATTTCCAGAAACCGCTCTCGCGTGATTCATCTTTGAATGCTATATACTCACTCTTGTGGGTGAATATTCGTGCGGTTCCATCACCGGACTCTCTTGCCTTCTTGAAATGCCTACCGCGACGCACGACCGCAGCTCGCTCGAAAAATATTTAAGGTTTACCGGACGCGTTCCTGCAACGTTTTAGCCGAGCGACAAGTCGTCAGGTATATCGCGTTATCTTTCCTCGAATAAACAAGTCACGCTGAGAGTGCGGAAATGCGAAATTTGGCACGGAGCACGGATTTCAACTTGATTTCGATTTTAATATCAGATTCAAATCGTTAGAAATAATACGAGAAAATAGAAAGTGTGCGTCTGAATTGAATTCCTTCGTACTAGAAAAAAAATTCGTCGAAATTAAGATTCGCCGAACTTTGGTTGTTGATTATATATTTCAATAAATAGATCGCAGGTATATTTCCAATAATGCACAAAAACCAGTTCTCGCGTTTGGTGAATTTAGTGACATCTGATATGCCATTGATAACGGCATGAGTCATTGGCCATTTTAAATTGCTTCACCACGTTGCACCGTCTTTTACACACACTTGCTGTGTCACGGCTGTATTACTTTTCTAACTTTTAATCACTTTGAAAAAATATCGAAATGCGAGTGTCCTTAAAATGGATGATTTATATCATTGGTATTTCCTATTATATTGTCCTGCTCTTAAAAACTCTTTTATTTCAACGCATGTGGAATGAATAATTATGCGCGAACATAACGGAACGTCGTGCAGATATTCAATGTAATTAATGTCGCTTGATTATCGTATCAAGTCACATTCCGCGCTTTGTTTCTTCTCCCTTTCTCGCACGAGAGAAGCCTTTCTAACCCAAAATGACGTGGCTGTGTCATTTTGACGAGCGCAAGAGAGACGCGAATAAGGCGAACAGGTTTGCTTGGATCCCCTCCTAAACGACAACGAAACGAGCATCGACGATGCGGTGGCAAACGACGCCGTTTGTCGAATAACACTCGACACCGGAATGAATCCGAGCCCTTCATATTGGCTTGACCGGCCGCCCCGCGCAATGAGGGACACGCGTGTGTCATCGTTAATATCGTTATGCATGCGTTATCAGTTTATCACCTCTACCTCGTGCTCGTCTTGCCTCTCGCACGCTCGAGGGGGTCGTAAACGCGTTTACCAGTCGGCAATTGACTCGTCGCGCGACACCCGAATCCGACGAAAATTGTCGGCAAATTGCTTTCCGGCTGCCGCTGGTACATCGCCCCGAAATCCGGAATCGTATATATATGCACCTTAATGACCCAATTTCGAAGCCTCTCTCGGCCCAGATTTTTGTAAGTCGTGTATATACGTATACGTACACACGTAACTGCACGCCAGCGATCGTTACTTTGCGCACAGTTACACAATAAACAAGTTCTTTGGACAATAGAGATAACACGCGCTAGCCGATGTTCTTTTTGCAGGAAAAAATTATTATTTGCGATACATAAATCTTAATTTATATATGTTAATTTCTTCGATTACTTGTTATTATCTCGCTCGCGGAATCTATACTGACTGACAATCCCGATTAATCGGTGAATTGCAGCTACGGTATCGCGTGGTAGAAATGGAGCACACCCTGTGTACACGGGGAAAACGGCTCGTTCCGTAATCTAAACGTATACGATAAGGCCTGTCCGCTTTTCGTACGCAGCAATCTTCGTGCACGGCAGCCGGAACCGCGATACGTGTTCGAGGACAGGAAGTACGAAATTCCAAACCGTAGGCCACAAAGTGGCACGCACACGTAAGACCGACCTTCCGGTCCTATACCTGAGGGGGTCGATCGTACCCGCCGTTACGTTCCCACGGTCACGTCCGACAAAAATTGATCGACTCTTCTGAGAGAAGAGCGCGCTCCGATTCGTCCCCGTCGAGGATTTCCCCCCGCTGCACCACACTTCTCGACGGAGTACATCCACCGATGAATTCGCAACTGCGACGAGCGTATTCCCTCCCCCCCCCTCCCCAAGGCCGTGAAATGCAAAGCACAAATTAAATTTTAAAAGTTTATTTAACGTAAATTGTTTAAAAGGTTTTAAATGAAATTGTTCGGAAAGTTGATTTTGTCGGCGCAACAAAGCCTTACGCGAAAAAGTAACTTTACAAATCTAATTTATTCTCCCAAAAGGGGAGAATAATACACCCCGCGGTCCCCGTTCTTTTATTGTTGCGCCTTTATTACCGACTCTTTTATATACACACAGAGTCATCCTCGGTGTCTCGTTGATGTAAGTGAACTCTTGAGCGCTCGTGAGCCGCAATTAGGCGTTACTTCCGCTTATACACGAATCAGCTGATTTCCCAGCAGCCGCCCAGCTGACTCTCAAATTCTCGTATCTGCCTTACACGAGGCGCAGCTGTCACCGTCGCGGTAATTTTCCAGTCTTTAACCG